CCCATATTACAGCAGCAGGTGGCGCTGTTTTACTTACTGATTTTAACACTGTGATATGTTGGACTTCAGTCCCAGTGTTGTGCTGTGCATTTTTTTAAGTCCTTGATAAAATGACTGAGAAATGAGAAATTATTTTCTTACCCAAATTAAGTTATTTCAACTTATTGTGTTTATGTCACCATTAAATAAATAAAAATGACATTTTGTATGGAATATTTATCATAGTTAATTCATCCTTGCACATTTTTTTTTTAATTCATGTGCTTAATCTTTAATCAAAATAACTTCCCCTTCTTCTTGGAGCAACACCTCTTCTCTGTTGATGTATTTACTGGCACGAGGGCGGGGCAACCTGTCACTCACATGAGATCCACCAATAGCAAATCACAGCCATCCAATCAATTCCAAATGGACAAAATCAAGTCCCGCCCTACATTTTTTTCTCATTCCAGAAGCCGTTTCAATCGGATAGGCCTATACGTCACAATAGGGAAGAAAAGACAATGGCAACTTCTGTTTTCATGGAAATTTTAAATGTAGCTTTTTTGAGGTAAAGTATAGTTTAAAGTCCCCATGAATTCAAAATTGACCATACTTACTTTGTTTGCCTAAATTGATCGTTTTGTGGTGAACAATTCATCCATGCAAGTCAATCCACACAAAAACTTTTTTTTGGCTTCGTAATCTTTAATCAAAATCTGAAATTTCCCCTCCCCTTTGCATTGGAGGACCTTCCCTGATGACGTAGGTTTGACGTTTGGGTGTCTGCTTAACATCCGTAACCACGCCCCTCCAACTGACAGTAGACAGGCTGAATGACAACACCTACTTTTCTAGATCCAATCAGGTGCTAGTTGGAAAAAAGCCACGCCCACTAGTTTGCCTCATTTATTCCGTTTCTCTCGGAAATACGTCACAACACTGTAGAAAAGTTGTTTGCCACATCCGGTTCACGGGGACTTTAATTTATTATTAACTGTAAATGCTGTTGATATTGTTGTATCAAACCTATAATGCAGGACAGGTATGTATCAGTGAAACACAAAAGGCCACTTTTACACTGCAAGGTCTTGGTGCCTAATTTCAATTTGTTGACTATATCTGAATTATTTTGATGACCAGCTTACATCTTTTAAAAGTGACCCATATCCGATATCGGCATTTACACTATACACTTGGCGAAACAACCCAAAGTAGACGTACTGATCTAGAAGAGCTTAGGCCAAAAAGGAAGTAAAGCAGCTTGATTTGTATTGGACGAAAACAAACTGATAATACGTAAGCATTTGCTTTCCGCAACATAATTAAAGGTCAGTAAAACATTGGGTTGAGCCTTCTTCCTCCATTGCGCCATTGAAAAGAGTCATGTGATCGCGGTCGGTGTCCACCTGAGATTACATCATTCACCACCGTTTCTGCAAACCTGGCATGTCATGTTTATTGGTCCTGTATTTGAATCTGAATGCAATCGATGACATTTGAGTGCTGCGGTGAATCATCTGTGAGTAAAGACTTTAATTTTGTTCTGTTTTACACTAAGCTATCATAGTACAGTACTTGGAATACACGAGTCATATGAAATGCATTTATGATGGGGATGTTGGAAGATCCAGAGATGATCTATTGCCTTAAAGGAGAACTCCGGCGCAAAATGAACCTTTGGTCTAATAAAACATTGGTACCTTGTCAACCGTTCTCTGAGATTTGTTTTCATGATAATCGATTGTAAAGTGTTTTATCTCTAAAAACTGTTTAGCGTATAACGCTAGTAATGGGGGCATATAATAAGTAAAAATAAATCGCTAGTTTATACCACTAACAAGGATTAAAATAGCCCCACACGAACACAGTAACATAATGAGGGTCCCTACATGCAAAACGAATTGAGAACTTGGTAAGTGTACAGACCGTTTAATAAGAAGATAAAGATAAAGACAGTCCACTTCGTGTATACAGATAGGAGCCATATTTGGAAAACAGACTCGACTAATCAAACCACGAACGCCATTCATACAGTTCAGAAGTTCACTGAACTTCATACAGTTCAGCTCACTTAGCACGTCGTTCGTGGTTTGACTAGTCGAGACTGTTTTCCAAAGATGGCTCCTGTCTGTATACACGAAGTGGACTGTCTTTAAAAAATATCTTCTTATTAAACGGTCTGTACACTTACAAAGTTCTCAATGCTTCGTTTTGCATGTAGGGACCCTCATTATGTTACTGTGTTCGTGTGGGGCTATTTTGAGCCTTGTTAGTGGTATTAACTAGCGATTTCTTTTTACTTACTAAATGCCCCCATTACTAGTGTTTACGCTAAACAGTTTTTAAGAGATAAAACTCTTTACATTCGATTATCATGAAAACGAATCTCAGAGAACGGTTGACAAGGTACCAATGTTTTATTAGACCAAAGGTTCATTTTGCGCCGGAGTTCTCCTTTAAGAGATTCAGCTGTTGTTTGGTAAAACAGTGGTGAAAAACATTTGTAACGTGATATGGAATTTTAAGGGATGGTTCGCCCAAAAAAGAAAATTCTGTCATTATTTACTCACCCTCAAGTTGTTCCAAACCTGTATGAGTTTATTTCTTCTGCTGAACATAAAATAAGATATTTTGAAGAATATGGGAAACCAAACAGTTGATGAGCCCCATTGACTTGCATAGTAGGGAAAAAATATATAATGGAAGTCAATGGGGCTCATCAACTGTTTGGTTATCGACATTCTTCAAAATATCTTCTTTTATGTTCCACACAAGAAAGAACTTCATATAGGTTCGGAACAACATTGGGGTGAGTAAATGATGACAGAATTTTCATTTTTAGGTGAACTATGCTTTTAAATTTGATTTCCACATGAGTAATCTATGTGTTTTTCATGAGCAAAAAAAGCATTTTCATACTAGCCCTGAAAATCAGCAACACTTCTAATCTGAATCTTCAGTCTACGTGGAGACACACTCTTCACACGCTTTTCTGATACTATAAAGTGGAAATTGAAAGGGCAGGGAAATCCAGCAAAATAACTTTCAGTTTCACCCCACCAAAACAGGAGAAAGACTAAATATGCTAATGTGAACATACACTGGATCATATACTCAACACATACACACACACGCACACACCAACGCATGAGAAGTCTGAGGATAAACACACACACAAAGACCTTCCCATTCAAAATCAGTACACTTAAGGCCTGTGCCTGACATCATCATCAAACTCATGCATTAACTGCATGAAACCACCAAAGTCTTTTCTGAAAGTGATAATGTCATGAAAGGTTGGGCCTACCGATTCACTTTGTCTAAATGTGCATCTGCTGCTGTGTTGGTTGGAATATTCCACCGAGCTCATTAGAAAAGCTTCAGTCTAAAGACAGACAGATCTGAGTCAGCGAAACAGCCGTTACCTGTGTTTGCGGCGGCTGGCGTTCCCCACCCCCATTTCCTCTGCAGTTTACAAGCTCTGCTAAGAATACACAGAAGCGTGGGCGTTCACAAAGAAAAGCTTCTTAGAATAAGATCAAATAAAGGGACCTGATTCAAACGATAAGCGCATATGCGTGAGCAATGGACAACGAACCAAGCGTTTCTCCAAACCTCGAATTGCAGTGGCACCCCTGATGTCATCTGACACATGTGAACAACAGGCATCTCAAAAGACAAATGACTCACATCTCTCCGCACCTATGTTGGAGGATAAGATGAGTCAGAAAAACTTTGCATCATGAATTTAAAAATAAATTTGCAGGTAAAGCAAGAATCACAAATGAAAGTGTTACTGTATAGATGAGCAGGAAAGGTCAAACCGCAGCATTAAATGACGCATCATCCGCCGCGTGTTATACAACAATGTGTAAGGATGACTTAAAGCAGACTTAGGTTTGGCATAACTTTATTTCGAGCAGAAAATCCATTCAAAACAAACAAACGTTCAGTTAACGTACTTGAAATAAAGTTTTGTGCAGCTGATGCACGTAGAGAAATAAATTATATCCACGGTGGATACATCCAAAAACATGAAACATGTGCCTCTTATTATGCATAATATGAGACGGGCTATAAATAGTGCAGAAGATAAATGGCATATTTCAAGAGAATCGTTCAAATTGGTATACAAGCATGAAATTTGGCACAGATTCTCTCTAAGGGTCACTTTTTGGGAAAAAGGCGTTGGCCACCCAAAAATCATGGCGGCCATTTTTTCAAGATGGCTGCTATTTATGTCAAATGCAGTGATAGGCATAACATTTTGTGAAAATACATGTTTTTTTGGAAAAAAATCAAAAATTCAAGATGGCCACCATTTTTGAAAATGGCCGCCATTTCTCTTGAATCCTTTCATCTTTTTTTCAAATGGTGATGCTATCATGAAATCTGGTACAAATATTCTTTAAGGAGCATTCTCATGGAAAAAGGTGTGTGCCACTCAAAAATTCCGAAAACAATTTATGCTAAATGTGCCTCACAAACTATAAAGATCAAACTGAAATGATCAGAGATATTTTAAAATATATATTTCTGCCGATCTTTTCTAACAGATGTGCAGAGCGGAAGGTGCTACACGCAGAAACATTGCAGGCTTTAAAACGTGTTAGTCATTTTTATGTATTTAAAAAAATTATATATATACATATAAAATATTTATAGAAATAATAGCATCTATTCTGTATATTGATCATACAATCTCAAAAGATGAGTTTGATTCCTTTTGATATGACCCGTCACATGTCCTTTCATAATTCATTAATTTGGTGTGTCTAGCTTGTTTTCAGGTGGAACAACTACTTTGTACACTTTTAAAGGAAAAATAAATATAAAAATAAATATTTTCCATCCAAATCTAGTGGTGCACTTATTCAACTTCTACAGATTTATCATACACTTAGAAACACCAGTTCAAAAGCTGTCACTGGGACGGTACCTTTTCATAAAGTAACACCTAATGTATTTCCCTCTACCAGTACCTTTTGAAAGGGAACTGCCCCAGTGAAAGCTTTTTTCCCTCTGAGATTGTTTGGTAAAAGTCAGACTCCAGATTTAATCTAAACCATGAACACACCAAAGTAGATCTCAGCAGCATTGGACAACACAAGTGAACAATTTTTCACCCTGACAAAGACAGCATCTCCTTTGTAGAGATGAAACATGCCGCTGAGGAAGCTGTTGTCTATGATTCCCGGCCTCTGGAGTTTAAGATGAAACCTAGAGGACTGGAGAAGCAGAATCTCAGCCCCATATCGATCTGTAGTCCGCAGTACAGAGTGGGTGCATGTGATTTTATCCTCCCGGAAGTGGATCTTAGAGTAGACGGAATAATATCCCTCTTTCTCCATGACGAGTTTCCCCTCAGCTGGCTTGAGTTTGACTTGGTGGAGGATGGATTCCTGATGCTCATTCCACAGCACGACTCCATTAACAGTTGAATTACCAGCTACATGGGAGAGGACAGCATGAGCGTCATGAACATTAGCACTCAAATGTTTCAGCACTTGACTGAATTTATATTTCTCATGATTCTTAAGGAAAAGTAAATCTAGCTAACAAGTGTGCGACATACGTGTGCAATTTGCTTTTATTTGTGTTACTTCAGTTCTGATTACTTGGAAATATTCATATAGACATTGGATTGGTAGTGTTGATTGTCAATAGTGCCAAATAAACGTCGAAATAACGCCTAACGTTTAAAATAATAATAATAATAACAGCTGTGATATTACTTGTCAGTTGTGCCATTGGTTTTGACGGCTTCATTTCTCCAAGATGTTTGTGTTTGCCGAGTGCGACATCTTCTTTCTCTATAAAAAAAAGCATAAGTTTACCATAGATTTAAGTGCAATCTGATATTCTTCATATGCCATATTTAACTAGAATTTAAAAAATGCAAAACAATGTAAAGCATCAAAGTAAACTTGTGACTATACAGTTAAGTGATCTTTACCTTGTTTTCTCATGGCAGTCTGAGGTTCATTTGGAGTGGTCTGAAAGGAGAATAATACATTTATAAATTCACTTTGAGTCTATGATTTTTTAAATGCCGTGGGTGAAAAGACCTCAGAAAAACATTACAATAATGCATCATGTATTCTGTTGCTTCTGCGGCATATTGTGTCTTCATAGCACTTTATTTATTGTAAAATAACTTAAAATAACAGTTCATAGTACGCATCACCTCTACATTTTCTGACCCAGATAGCACACGTATGTCTTGTTTTCATCTGGAAAATATCTGTTGTGTACAAACTCTTACAAAAAAAGTATACTTCAAGTTTATTTTATTAAGTATACTTAAGTAATGTTTTAAGTATAATATCAATGTACTAGTAAACTTGTAAGTGTACCATTTCAATACTGATTAGGATTAAATTGGCCCACTTTTTGTTATATAAAATACTTTTATGTGTACTATAAGTGTAACAGTAAACATTGAGTGCACAACTAGTTCACAACTTTTAGTTTTAGTTATAAAAGTACACTTTAATGTACTTTCAGTAAACTACAAGTTTAGTAGTTTTCTTTATAAATCAATATTTTTAAACAATGTAAGATTTTAAGACAGTATGTAAAACTATGTGAAAATAGGCTACCCAATCAAAAGAATAAACACAACTACAAGCCAAGTATACTTAGAATACTTAACTACTTAAATATATCTCGATCAAAAGATCGAGTACAAATCCACTTAGACTTTTCTGTCTATGTAAGTCAAGTATACTTAAGTGCAATTTTAAGTATATATTTCTGAGAAGTACATAAAAAGTAGACTGAAAGTACTTTTTTTTTTCTTTTTTTTTAAAAGAAGTATACTAATAGCACACTTGAATAAACTTTTTCGTAAGGGAACATCTGATAAGCAGTTTTACATACATTCTAAATCATAAACATCTTCAATACATCTTCTAAATGTCTATATAATATCTGACAAAAAACATCTTAGAGACGTATTGCAGATCTAAAAAATACATCTTCCAGATGAAAACGCACATCAAATAGAAGTAGCCTATGTGTGCTATGAGGATATAATGCTTCATATTTAACTACTTTTAACATTTGTATTCAATAGTGGGTATTTATTTGGCACAAACAAAATCAGGATTTTAGTATTAAGTCGGCATGAAATGAAACTTCACCCTATCTGTTTCATAAATTCATGTTATAGATCTTCTTGTGAATGATTCATCATATTTTCACTGGGGAAAAAAATTGACCCCATTTTTATTTATGTCATAACTGATCTTCCAGTGAAATCATTTAGTGCTTAAACTCGGTCCCTGTAAGCCTCCACTTTTGAGAGCAACTTCCACATTTCAAAATCCAATCAACAACCAAAGCAATTCGCCGCAATACAGGTTTTATTCTCCCGGATGTATGACTATACGGAAGAAAAGATCGGTCGCCACTTCCGCTTAATCGCGACTTACTGGAACACATTTTACACTATAGCTATACAACTTTTTAGTTTTTACAACTTTATTTAAATAATGTCAATTAGCATATAAATCAAACCGCCTGAACTGACTTCCCAACATTTCTTGAGAGCTTATGACTTTATTTTTTAAAAAAAGCAACTATATAATGTTAGCTCGGTTGTAAGGTTGTGTATAATAATAAATAATGTGGATATAAACAGTGATGTATAGGTTTACGTTATCAAGAACTGCTGTGTAAACTGAAAAATGTGAGTGGTTACTTGAACTTAGTTATCAATGATTTACAAGACTTGCCATTCAAACATATTATTTCCTCTAGTTAACTTAATTTGTGTCACACTGCTACATCAGATAAGAAATCAGGTCACATGTTAGGTCAGGTAACCACAGCAAGCTATGTGGTTTGAGCAACGCCAGGTCTGTCCAGCTACATTTCTGCAAACTTCATGTAAAGGGAGGAGCCTGACAGAAACATCGCAATCTACGCAGTGTATATTAATGTACATATGGCTGAAAACACTTCTATTTTGTATTGTTTCATCGTTGTATTATCAGCATGACAATATGTTCGTTAACACTTTATTTCAATAGTCCACTTTAGACATTCTACTAACTAACTTTGTAACTACATGTCAACTAACTTTCATTAGAGTATTAGTAGACTTAATATCTGCTAACACTTTATTTTGATGCTCCTCAACAGACATTCTACTGACTATAAGTGTTACAACTACATGTCAACTTATTCTACTAACCTGAACCCTATAAACAGTCTACTAATACTCTAATGAGAGTTAGTCAACATGTACCGTAGTTGCAAATTTTAATTTGAGTTCTATATCATTTTAATTTTGTTGTTTCAGGTAACTTAATGTTACTGATCAACCAGAATGATAAGTTGTGGTTGGACTGGATGGTACTTACAGGCTGTTCTTTGGTTGAGTACAGCCGGTAGATGAAGCAAGCCTCAATGGTCATTCCACACAGAGCCAGAATGACCAGGATCACCAGCAGCGTCTGGATCCGCTTCTGCCGCTGTCTATAGCCAGGTTTGGGCGGCAGCGGAGGGGGTCTCGTGGGGCTGTCCACCACAAACACCGAAGGATACGAAATTTTACCTGTAGCCATGTGCACACCGTCTCTGGCCACGTTACAGATCACAACTGCACATCCAGAGAAGTGCAACTAGACCCAGTGCAACACAATGAGTGCGAGTCCCACTGTCAGAGCGAGAGATAACCATCACTCATAAAAGCCTACAGGTGGGCGGTCGATGCATGTGAGCCAAAAAACTGTCAGACCACTCTCAGAATCTGCATGCAAACCTGTAATGCTGTCTCAAGGGATGGTTAAAGCAAAATCTGCAAGTGGCGAAGAAAAACGTGCAACGTTTAAATCTAATTTGGTTTCAAAATGAGTTTTTTTTAAAAATCATCAACGGTAAAAAGCTGATTTTTTTTGTCCGTCAGACTGACATATTCCGTTTGGGTCTGAGTAGGTTGGAAGTGGAATCTATAATGGGATTTGGTAAAAGACGTGGTACAAAAGCCTACACAAGCTCGTGCATTTTCATGGCCACGCAACTGGCCCACCAATTCACACCTTCCTCTCTCCTGTGCATCAGCTCACAGCCACAGCTTCCCGTCCTATACAGAAGTCACACGCTTCTTCAGTTTAACCCCCACGCTGTGTTTAAAACCCTGTAACAAAGGTGGTCAAAAATGGCCGGCCTTTAAAAAATTGCTTGTTATGCTATATTATCACCGAATATTGGATTCAAACTTGTTTTCTTTCAATTAGGACCGGTTTTGTATTTATTTTTGGAACTGATAGATCGTAGGTCTCATTGATCTGAGATTACACCTCCGTTTTTGAGTGAAAAAAGCATGATTTTTGGATTATTTTGTCAATATTCATCAACATATGGAAACATTTGTACTGTTTATCACACTAATGTTCTTTAATAGTTAACTAGGAAGTTTGTTTTGAAATGCCTTTAATTTGTACAAAATGGACCAAAGTAACACTTTTTGTGTTCCTGGTTTACCGGCCTACAAAATATATATATATATATCTGGTTGATCATAGGCCTGAGGATAAAGTTAATTTGTGTGTGTGTGTGTGTGTTGTAGCGCAAGTGTGCATGTATCCAGCATGCACAGGTCTAAGGCCTTTATCTTTGCAAGCACACATATGTGAACATGAATATGATGAAAATGCTTCTAAACACTAAATGTTTCTCTTACTTTCCATATTCCCCATTCATTTTCAATGGATGGCCATTTTTGACCAATAAGATCAAAGAGGCCAACAGTCAGTCAGTTTCATTTAAATAAACGTAGTTAAATAAACACAGAACCGGTCCTAATAGAAAGAAAACAAGTTGACAAAAAGATTGAATCCAATATTTAGTGATAATATAGCATAATGAGCGATTTATAAGCAATTTTTTGTAAGCCGGTCATTTTTGACAGGGAACATCACATGTGTGACAATGCCCAAATCCCCCCAAAATACAAGAATTATCCCAAACTTTTGGGGTAGTTATACTCTGTGTGAGCAAAGTCAGTAAGTCCTTAGTCCAATGTAATGAGATTAACTAGCATTTTCGGGAAAAATAAAATCTTCTCAGGTTAAAATGACCCGAACACAACATAAGGGTTAAGTAACTATAGGCTGTAGAAGAAAGACATTTAAAAACACTTAACACAAACCCCCAAAAAGTCGTTTTGGAGCAGTAGAACACAATAGAGTAGTGACGGTCAATGCAGGCCGATGTACTATTTTTGTTTTGTTATAGTAGTGTGCACATGAGAGCAAAAGGGTAACAATAGTTCCCCATAATTAGACCAGTAAACACAAGTATAGTTGAGCTGATCTAAAAATTAAATGCAAGCAGACTGAGAGAGAGCCATCCGCTAAGAATAGAATACTCGTTCAGTCCATATTTAATTGATGTCATATCTTGTGACATCAAACCAACATCAAAGAATCAGTAGTGACTTTGTTGTTGCCAGCATCTTGGCCAAAGGCTTGTCCTTGAACACACCGCAAACTCTACATCCAACAGCCTATACCAGTGCATCTGTGCCTGCGTGAGAGAAACTCTCCATACCAGCAGGTGGCAGTAGTCTGGATTCAACGGTCATACAAAGAAAGCGAAACGAAGGCTGAATCCGAAATCGCCCCCTATAACCTTAAATAGGACGTTATTTGAGGGGACAGCCATTTGTAGTGGTGTCCGAAACCATAGTGGACGTTATTGAGTGCACTTCTTCAATCCAACATTGCACCGCAATTACAAATGTACAACCGGTGAATGTTCATGCTGTCCGAATGCGCTCACTCGTTTTCATTCACTCCTTCCAGTGAACAGTATTAGTGGACTAACATATAGGGAATAGTGAATGAGGGTTTAGGAGGCGATTTCAGATTCAGCCTAGGACTGCAGATATACAGTACAAGAAAAGCACTTCCTTACCGTTTTGAATTTAATTAATGTTGATCAGTTGGTCTTCACTTTCCTCATTCCATATGGCAATGTCATTATGAAAATATTTGTGTATTAGAAAGCTCCGATAAGATGATGTTAAATTGGAAGAGCTTTCTGTGTTCCATCTTGACTTTGACTGTTTGCCTGCTTTCGCCACTTTCTCGATTCTTCTAAGCAGAACAGCCAATCAGAGTCTCTTTCTCACCTACTGCCCAACACCGATTCAACATGCCGACGGGATCCTTTAAACATTAAAGCTGCAGTCCATAGCTTTTTTGGGGTTAAAAATGATCCAAAATACATATATGAGAAAATACATAACCAGTCAGTGTTTTAAAACTATCTGGTTGCCTTAGCTCGATTCAAAACCGTAAGCTTGTAATAATGTTTTTAATTCCAGTGGTACTGGTGGATTTCCGCGGGAGATTCGAGCATGTCTTTGCGTCATTACGTCACAACACATAAAGAAGGAGTCTCGGCTAGTATAAGCTGTATTGCGTGTGAGGATGTTGGAGGTGGAGATTTATAGCCTTTTCTCACAGCACTTGATATTAAACTTATCAATTTGATGGCGGATCCAGAAAGGTTGAAACGACAATCATCAGTGACAACTAGAGATTCACCCGTTGTAAAATGCAAAAGACTTCGTTCGGACTTCGGAGTGGCTACAGAAAAAAGAGACTGCAACCGGACCCATGCGGAAACAAGGATACATATCGGAAGGACATTACATGAAGTCACGCAATGCTGACGGTGTTAACATTAACAATTTGAGAACAAAGTATAATTTGCACGGTTTTGCGTGATATGATAAGCGATTGTTAGATTTAATCAGTGCGATTTACTGCAATGTCAGAACCAGAACAAAAGTGGATGTTACTTACTTGTTCAGATGACATTTTCCGGTGAAAATTATAATGTTGGTCATACTTCCAAAAAGAATAATCTGTGATTCTGACTGACAGCCTCACACTCTCCTCAAACATTGTGTCCATCCGCGCTGTGCCGTGTGCCCGTGTCGAAGTACAACTCACGTAAAGTTGATAATTCCGCGAATAACTGCAATTGCAGATTTCGAACAGAGATGGCGACAAAGAGGAAAAAACTGCGGACTGCAGCTTTAAATAATTACAATTTGAATGTCAGCCCAACCAGAGGGCCCAACCGTGCTTGCTTGACAAGTGAGAACAAATCTTATTGGTTCTCGCACATGATGCGGCAAGATCACTTTATATTAAATCGGTTAAACATATAAAGTGATTTTGTATGTTCAGAAGACTTGAATTACACCTCTCAATTCATATGGATTACTTTTACAATGTCTATGTGCATCTTTAAACCTTTACAATTTTGGATAGGCAAAAATGAGGAGAGAATTGTAAAAAAAACATCTTCACTTTTGTTCTGAAGATAAAGAAAGTCTTATGGGTGGGGGAAAGTTACTAAGCAATGTACTTCCTAAAAAAGTAACTAGTCAGGTTACTCAGTCATTTTTTGTGAACAGTAATGCATTACGTTACTTTATCTCACTTTATCTGTTTTTGTGCGAGTGAGATGAGTAAATGCCTGGTCACATTTATCCTACAGAGTAGGCTAAATGATTGAATTTTCATTTTTAAGTGAACTATCCCTTTAATTGAAAGTCTGCATTGTATTTTTACAAACTTGACAATTCACACCAAAGCAAACCATGATTTGTATTATCTTCAAGATCAGTCCATAGACCTAACTAAAATAAAGCCTCTTCTTGAAAGGTTCATTTTATGTAGGCAAATTGTTTGTTATGTTCTAGTTATGTTAGCTAGGTATGTTCTAACACTGCAGGGATGTTTTGTGTGACAACCACATCGAGCCATTACAACACTAAGGGTTATTTTATTATATCTTATTATAAACAAACATTCCCAGAGCGTTGCAGAAAAGTTTTTGTGACTGGCATTGGTGTAGTAGGCCTACAGCATTGAATTAAATTAAGACATGAATATCACAACGTATTTAGTCTCCGTGCAATTTATAGCCAAAATGCAGCCTACGGCCTTTCATTCGATCCCTTCAAATGGTCCAGGGACGTTCCGATGACGTAGACCATACTACAAGTAAACGTGTCTTGCAATAGAAACATTGAGCCCTACAACACTAGAACATGAAATGTTTCATGTAAGTTACTGCGACGCAACGAGGCAAGCGCGCATTGACGCTCAAATCGAGTCTTGACGTCGGAACCCAATCGACAAATCACCGAGACTGTTTGCGCGTTTTACGCGACGCGGGAAAACTTTAACGCGTCCGTTATCAACAAAGCTGTCAAACTTCAAACCCGGCTGTTTTGTCACTGCAACTTCACGAGAGTCCAAAACAACGCGCTTACAGTGCTGTGGAAGGCAATGTTCGCGTCTAGTTCTGTCGCGTCGCTCGCAGTGTTTGAAACAGCTGCTCCGGTGTGTTTATGAAGAGCAAAGTAATGGAGCGGTTTAAAGCGACGCGTCTCGTAGTGTGTTTGCTGCTCTTTCTGACGCTCTGCGTGGATTTGGGATACGAATTCAGAAAGAATAAGGACACCGAGTTCACTTTCCTTCTTCCTGCCGGAGCAACCGAGTGCTTCTTCCAAACAGCCACTAAGACCGGCAGCTTAGAAGTGGAGTACCAGGTCAATACATTTTTTTTCTTTTTAATTAAACTATTAAAAATGATATCTTATTTAAAATGATCTTTTAAACGAACTCAAGAGAAGCCAGACTAAATAAGGAGTCGGCAAAATTGAGAAAGTAACTTGTCAAAATGGTTGTTTGCTAAGTTAAGAATAGCTTTTGGTTATCATTTTATTAACACTATTAGTAACTCTACTGCATTACATTGCAATTTTGCTTGACAGTAATGACCAGGAAGTAGCAGGACTTTTCCTTTCATAGGTGTAGATGTTTTGGTCAAAGTGCATAGGCTACTGCATGAAGCACTAGGCTACAGTAAAGATACACATAAGGTTTCATTATCCTATAATGTTAATTTCAACATTTACTAATACATTAGGCTATTAAAACCAAATGTTGTATCTGATCATATTATTTAATGGACATGAGCAACTAACAATGAACGGTTGTATTTTTTATGAACTAATAACATATGTTACTAATGGAACAAATGCATTGCTCATTGCTACATAAACAGCTTGTGCTTGGTTTGGTTTCATGCATGTGGATCTTTTCTACAGCTCTGGTGGGAAGTTCAATATTATTGACATCATAGTCAATTGCATACTTGAGCGATCCTCATTCAGTCATCTTTAGACATCACACACAGTAGCTATACTGTCTTTTGGTTATTCCTGTACAGCCCTGTGTTGTAACCCTCCTCCTCAGGAGCTTGTCTGGGGTGTGTTTACGTTAAAAGCAGGCACAGCTGCGGGACAGCTGACCCGACCCAAAGCTCATTCCATGTGCCGGAAGGATCAGAGTGTCTCCAGTGCTGCATGGTTGCTGTTGCCACACTTTATCTCTAGTGACGCCGGCACACTGGCTCTTCATTTGAGCTGCTTTATCAGTTGGTGGAAGATAGGAGACCTGTTATTTGAATTTGGGAGGAAAAGGGACACGTGAAAGAATCATAAGGGCAGGGGTTGAAGTCTTTGAGAGTTTGCTCATGTAAGTATGAGAAATGTTGGTGTGACAAATAATCCAAGACACTCACTCATAACCTGTAGTGATTGACTGATACATTGGTGGATTAATTGGCCAACATTTGATCATTTTGAGATGACTTGAGTTTGACTCATCATTGGCCAACTACTTAGCTGCTCTTAAATCTCCTGACTGCTTTGTCATTAGATAGATAGTCCATATTTTCTTATACATTACTGGTGTATTTCCAAGAATGGACTTACCGGTACTTCAAGAATGGACTTATTTAAAGATGTAAATGTAACATGTAATTTATATATGTGACCCTGGATCACAAAACCAGTCACAAGTAGCACGGGTATATTTGTGGCAAAGACCCATTGTATGGGTCAAAATTATCGATTTTTCTTTTATGCCAAAAATCATTAGGATATTAAGTAAAGATCATGTTCCATGAAGATATTTAGTAAATTTCCTACTGTAAATATATAAAACATTTTTTTTTTTGCACCCTCAGATTCCAGATTTTCAAATAGTTTTATCTAGGCCAAATATTGTCCTATCATAACAAACCATACATCAATGGAAAGCTTATTTATCCAGCTTTCATGTGATGTATACATCTCAATTTAAAAAAATTGACCCATGTTTTGTGGTCCAGGGTCACAATATATAAAAAAAATCCTTTATTATAAGAAACATTAACAAAAACTCCTTGAATGCTTATTAAGATTTGAAAAACTTTTGTCCACCAAATTAAACTGATTTAAACCAATATGCCGGAAAGAAAAAAACATTACATAGGAAATGTTATCAAACTGTGTGACTGTGTGTCGAGGTCAATTAGTCTCTTAAAAGATCAGAAAATAATTTTTTGTTATTATACGGCAAGGATAGTTTAGGTTGTCAAACGTTATCATGTGGTGTGACTCCCCAAAAACATGATTCATTGGAGTTAAATAACTTATGATATTTGTTAAAAAATACATTAAAGTGCATTAAAATGTATATTATATATATATATATATATATATATATAAACTTTACAAATAATTAAGGTGTACACATGTATTAAAGGTGTAAGGTAAATTATGTTATTACTTTTCACTTAATGGTTACACCACATGACATTTTTAAAGTGATTAAAGTCTTTTAGAGTGATTAAAGTCTCCATGAAATCAAAATGGACAATTCTTGTTTTTATTAATGGAATATTGCAGTAATTAAGTAATTTTTAATTGTGAAAACAAATGCATTAATTAGGCCAATTTAGTTTTTTTGTTTATGTTTTATAGTAACGTTAATACACATTGACATTAAAGCTCTTATTTGCATAATTAATTTGTTCACATTATTCCAAAGGAAGGATATTTGTCTGTATAATATTTCTTTAAAATCTTTCGGAAGCAACTGATGGTTTTTTTTATCATACATTGGTGGATAAAATCAAGTCATTTGACAATTTTTCCTTTATTGAATATCAGGTTGCACTTGGATGGACATTGCATTACAGAAGTAAAATGAGTAAAACACTTTTTCATTCATCAGTCACCCTGCTTGAGTCAACATGAAGCAGAATTCCCCCTATTGCGGTGAAATTGCTTCTCAAACAAGAAAAAAATGTTGGCCGGGAATTGATTTTGTCCACGGGGAATTGATAGGATGGTTGTGGTTTGCTATTGGTGGATCTCATGTGAGTGACAGGTTGCCCCGCCCTCACGCCAGCAAACACGTCATCAGAGAAGAGATGTCGCTGCAAGAGCGAGGGGAAGTTATTCTGATTAAAGATGTGCACAGATAAATCATTTGTAGTAAATACCGCAATGTTCCATAAAATAAAATAATAATAATTTTGATGTGATTGAGATGTGAACCTCTCTTAACCTATCTGTGTATGTGCAGGTGATTGCAGGCTCAGGGCTGGACGTGGGATTCACTCTGATCTCCCCCAGTGGATACAGACTGGTCTCAGACTTCAGAAAATCGGACGGCATCCACACGTAGGTTTCACATCCCGTCGTGCGACGAGCTCAACCTTCACACATTATTCATATGCAGTTAGTTTAGGACCGTCATAACCCACCGGATTTGCATGTCCTCTGCTGGAAATTTGCATGCTGTCTGCAAGGCTGACAGTGACCACATCGAAACTGAATTGACTGAAAACAGTTGCCTGAAAATGCTGTCATCATTTGCCTCATGTTGTTTCAAACCTGTATGACTTCCTTTCTTTTGAAGAACATAAAAGAGCATTTTTTGTTTACCAAACCTTTTTTGGTTACCAAAAAGTTTCGGATACATTGAGTTCTATTGCATGGACAAAAAAAAAAAGAGACGTTTCTAAAAATATCTTCTTTTATCTTATGATCTAACACTTCTCTGTGTCTTACAGTTATGATGAGCATTAGAGTAATCTTGCTGTGTCTGTCAGGGTGGACCCCGCTGAGGAGGGCGACTACAGGATTTGCTTTGATAACAGCTTCAGCCGTGTTTCAGAGAAGATGGTGTACGTGGAGGTGATCGTGGATGGACCAGAAGAGGAGGAGGAGGAGGATGAGGAAGACTGGGCTGCTCTGGCTGAACCGGAGGATTCGCTGGAGTACAAACTGGAGGATATCAGGGTACACCAATCAAATATCTCTTCATTCGGTGAACTTGATTTCACCAAGTGCAACATGTTCCTGGATCAATATCTTTGTTGATCCTGGAACAACATTTCAATCAACTAATCAGATTTGAGGGACAGGTTTACAGATTATGTCAAGTTTAGGCTTACAACCAGGGTTAGGTGCTTCAACATCTGTGTTATTCACCATCATTACCCTTTGATTTTAGGGATATGTTATGGGTAGGGTTAGGTTATCAGGGTAGGGATAGGGTTAGGCCTGAATTTTCAGACAGGAATGTTGTTCCAGGATCAACAAAATATGTTGATCTAGGAACATATCTTACTTGGCTAAATCTCGGTGAACAAACAGGCAGATGAATGAAGAGGGTCACCCGTGATTTTGCCAAGTAAGATATGTTCCCAGATCAACATATTTTGTTGATCCTGGAACAACGTTCCTGTCCGAATATTATACCCTTTTGTGGTGGCAAAACATATAATGCAATGCAATAGAGATGAACAAATCAACTTTCCTCAAAAGTATGATGTATCATATTTATATAGCATGATTTTGCAAAAAAAAAAAAAGTTGCTTCAGTCCAGTAAATGTTCATCTTGAAATATTACTAACAATATAAAGGTTATTCTCACATTTACTTTCTAAAAGTCTGAAAATATTTCACAACTAAAAGACACGTGAACCACAATCTGAAGGGGCGACATTTAAAAAATTACACTAAAAGGCCTTTTACTTGCTAAAAAGGTATAAAATATCAATACATGGTTTTCAGCAAAGTTTTGATCATGTTGATAATTTAGGGGCCAATTGAGCTATAAAGCTAGCCTGGGAAAACCCAGACAACTTCCGGCAAATTTAGATTTGCTCTGAAAGTTAGTCTGGCAAAGAGCTCATTCAAGCCCATTTCCAATCCGCCGAAATCGAGGCACCAATCAGAAACGTTGGGGCGGGCTTTACACGATGACGACAGCGCTGGGATTTTGAAGCAGATTTTGTAGCCTACATTACAAAGATGGATGCCGCCGTCGAACATCACTCGTTCGAATCAGCTATCGCGTCTGTTTTAAGCGATCTGAACGTTTCCTTTTTGTTAAAAACCGAGCAAAGAACAACACTCGGAGATGTTTATCCACCGCTCTGCATACGTCATCTCCTTCACCGCTCTGATTGGTTTTAGGTCTATCCGCGACGTCCGTTGGTGACGCCCCTCTGGAAATGATTTGTCTATGACTATGACGCTTTGCCAGACCATAACTCAGTTACAACTGAGAATGGTCTGGTTTTAACCAGGCTACTATAAAGCAGCTCTACAGAAAACAATCATTATTCGACTCAATTCAGTTTAAGTTTTGTTTTTATCCAATATTGTCAGTGCAGCTAAATTAATAATATTATTGGATATTAAGTGTTTGTGTATCAAACATGATACAGTAGGCTTTATAGGGTTAAAGAAAACCCACCAACAATGTTTCCAAAATGCCTTTTATGCTTCAATACAATACATTTTTCCTCAAAGTTCTATTTTGGCACTGATCAGTTTTCCTCATTGAAATGTCATGCTTTAGTTACTAGTGTTTTTCAAATGTTGTACTGTGACAACCAGACTGCAACCAAATTGCAATGTTATAAAATGGCTTTGTGGGAAGTTGTAGCTGCAATGGTGTTTTCTCTCACCACACAGGACACAATGGATGCTGTGCACAAGAACCTGGAGCGAAGCCGTCAGATGCAGGCGATGCTGCGGGCGTTGGAGGCTCGCGACCGCTACCTGCTGGAGGATAACCTGTGGCGGGTTTCCTTTTGGTCCAGCGTCAGTTTGCTGGTCATGGTCAGCGTGGCCCTCACACAGGTCTACACGGTACGCAGATTATTCAGTGACTCGCGCAGAGTCTGCACATAGCAGGGATGAACTGAGGGGAAGATGCTGTAACACTCTATGCACTGTTAACCTAAAATACAAACTAATGGATTCTTGAAATGAAGATGCGAGGAAGCCGGGAAAAAAAACCACCTCTAGTTTTTAGAGATATCAATTAATCTGAATTCTTGGAGCTTGACTCAGTTTTAATTGTAAGAGTTTTCTTTAGAGCGCTAAATAACACTGGTAAACACTACATTTACTTGAAGTACTGTAGCAACATTTGAATGAGAATGTAATTTTGCACTTGACTGCGGTTCAGATAATTTATGAGACTTGAAACGAATAACACTGCAGTAAATTGTGAGTAACATATTTCTTATGGATTTATACAGGGGTTAAATAAAGATCCAAGGGAACGTTTCGCTTTTGAATGGTTTTATTATACAGCACATTAGCATCTCATTTGGAACAACTGCAGCTCAGTCATATGTGGCATTGTAAGTGCAAATAGAAAATGAATTTAAAACTCATCTGGGTTATTGACGTTACATTTCAAGTTAATGGCTGACTGAGTTATTACTGTACTGGTGGAATCAGAATCACATAACAATACTTTTAAGACTGTTGAATCTCTTTGTTTCTACAGGTTAATCTGAGGTTTGATTCATTTTCAGTATTTCTAATATTCATCCATCACCCTACAACAATATACAAATATTCTCATTAAACAACACGCCTAGTAAAAACTATGTACAACAATATTCATTACAAACTGCCTATAAATAAAGAGTCCTGGAGGTTCACAGACATGATGCTCAGTTAATGATTCAAATATTCATCTTGCATACGCCATAAAAACTAATTTATTCAGTAGAAATTTGTCACTAGGGCATCTCTTGTAAATCATGAAATTAAATCTCAGAAGAGCCATTAAACAACCAGAACAGGAATATTTAAAGATTAAAAGAATATTATGATTCATCTACTGTCGCTGCATGTTTGACTCCAAACTTTCTCAAATCCAAAGACATACTAATGTAAAAAATGTTTGCCGCCTTCTATATTTAAAGCTCAGATTCTCAGTCCTGCAAATAGATCTGATTTACTGGCTTCTTTTCATGTGTTCATGCTTTGAAGTTTAATGTTTACTTGCAACACATTTAATATTTGCTATCAGTAACGAATAAATGTTGCAGACTAATTGTCAAATACTTCATTAGGCTGCTGAATTAAGCTTGAAGACTAAAGTTAAACTCTAACTATAAACCTAAAACTTCAAATAGTGAGTCCCTTTCTAAATGTTTCAGTATGACCAAAACATGTGGTGCACAAATTCACTTTATCAGGGCTTATACAACAGTTGTCTACAAATCTGAGTGAACAAACGGCATGCTGGAACTATTTTTTTGTGTATATCTGTCTGTGTTCACAAATGGAGCACAACATTTGGTTTAATGGATATAAATGCTTCTTTATTGGCCACAAATAACCTTGCTAAATCCCCAGTGAAGAACTACACTACCCATAATCTTAAAAGGACAACCCATCAATTGGTTGCTATAATCAGAAATCACCGGAAAAAAAACTTCAGCAGTGAAAAACAAGCAGTCTCTTCATCATTAAAATATGTCAACAACTTGGGTCACATGTGCCTTGTCAACCAAATCCAGTATCAAGCCACGCCCATAAAGTATTGTGAATTACATCTCTGTAGTCTTTTTAGAGGGTGGCGTATTTTGCTACTCGCACTCAGCCTCATTGTGTTTATAACCACACTCTTGCAATCTTTCAGGGAAAATGTTATTTAAAGACTGAAAGAGTTGTGGAACCTTAGTAATGGTGTCCTTCGACCGATGGTGTAGTTCGTTTATAGCCTACGTTTAGCTCTTTTTTTCCTAACGATTGTATCAAGGCTTCAAAATTCATAAAAGTTGTGTTCATTTGTCAAGATTATCATGGTGTGTAAGAATCACTAATGAGCTGATTTGTTTGGTCCAAGGCTCAGAACGGTTTATTTTTTTTTTTTTTTTTTAAATCTATGAAGAAAATAAATGGGGAAAAATACTTCTGGAAAAGTAGGGGTTCAAACAAGACTGTGTGATACATGGAAGAATCTCATCTTTGGTCAAAGAAATAGCTTAGTAAAATTAAGTTGGCTTTTTTCTATACAATTGATTGATATCCTTAGGAATGGGCATGATGTCGTTATGATCTAGAAGAGCAGCCATACAGTACGGTATGTCGGTCCTCCTCCTGAGCACTGGATCAGCTTCACCACTGGTTCCGTCGGGGAGGTGGACGTCTGTTTAACAACCGCAACCAAAACCACACATCAGCTGGGAGAAATTCATTTATGTGATGCACACAGTATTTTTTACAGTAACTCAACAGGCTCTAATGAGGAATGAAGTGCTGACGTTTTCATTATGACTGTGTTCGCTGTGTGAAGTTGGGGTTGGGTTAGATGATATCTCAAAAGCTGTGAAACCACTTTATTGTTACATAGAAACAAAGGATTCTGAATCAAAGGCTGTTAAATATGAGCCGTGTGTTATTCATGGTCACATGCTGATATTTGACAACTAAACGTCTGACTAACGACTTTGGTCATTCAGACGTGGTCTTCTTTGATTTTTTTTTACTTCCACTGACATGCTCACGAGTCATACTGAGAAAGATGAATCAGCTTCACAGAGGAAGTAGCTGTGATGAAGCCATGTGGTTCTCAATCCGGTTCCTGAGACCTTCAACACTGCAAACGTGATTCATCACAAGCTCATTAGATGTTCCTGTTCTAAACAGTATCATATGCATGATTAGATTAGAGCATGCTAAAAAAGAATTACTTTCTTGTAGATTTATGAAGTATGATTTTTGGCTACCACTTGACCTATGAATGAGGAGTTTGAATCCAATAGGTTGCAGCAGTTTTTAATGAATCGGCCTAGAAATAATAACTAATGTATTAGCAATGCATTTATATTTTTAGCTTCTTGCTAGTACTTACATGCATATAAGAGAGTCTGGGGTATCATGATGCAACCGTATGAATAATAAACAATATGCTCAGATAAGTATGGACTTTCTCATAGGTGTGAGTATCAGTTGGAACCTCACAATTTGATTTAAAACCAATGAGTTTGTGACGAATGAAAATGTTTTGGGGAGGTATTGAGTAGATGCTCCGCTGACTAACTTAAAGCACTTCTGATTGGCCATTGCGTTAACACTCTCTCTCTCATTATTTACTATACACAACACATACTTATTCAAAAGAAGTACCAACTCCAGAGTATGTAATTTGGGACGCAGTCATAGACTGAGACACCTAAAACGTGCAGTGCTGCTGAGTCTCTTGAAGCAGGATTGAAAAACACTGGATTACACCAACAAAGAGTATCATCTCACTACACCTGTTACATTTGATTTATTTCAATAAGAACACAAAGAGGAAGAGATGCATGCTGGGACAGACATGTCATGGTAAATCAAGGAGACAGTGAGGAGACGTGACACAAGGAAACACCGACCACCAGAGCACCAGATCTTTATTATACACAACACCTTTTATTACCTCACTTCCAATTCTCATTGTGCATTTTGCTCCAAGTCCATTTTAAATCGCTACACAGGCACTTGACAATTTGTTATTCCAAAAGCATAAAAAAAAGTCGTTAAATATGTCCTCAGTCCCTCACTCCATACAAAAGGACAGAATTATTAGAGGGAGAGACGGGGATTGGGTCACCATAACCTTAAAGACCACAGGAAAGTTACGGCTGCAGTGATTTGGGCTCCATCCAGTTCTTAACAGATGCTGAAGTCATTTGAATTTGGAAAAGATAAAGCTGCATACAATTTAAAAAGCCTTGAATTGACTGGGTTGTGAAGAAAGAGTGTTGGTTGCCATCACTGCAGCCATAACATACAGGAGTGACTCAAGAGCATTTGGTATTTAAATCCACAGCTAATTTTTAAGTTTCACCTCATGTCCGACTCAAAGCCTTCGATTATTTACAGACATATTGTGCTGAAATCAAACTCTCTTGCACCAAATCCCCATTCTTATCCTCAAGTTAATCAAGAAAACAGAATTTGTCGTGGCCCATTTCCCTGCGCGCACATCAATAAAAGCAAACATCAAAGATTCTGCAATCATATCCGGATCAATAGGAAACCAGCTGGACCGCTTTCACTCTGAATTATGTTCAACTGTTATTACCGCAACCGACAGGGCACAAATCTGTCGATAGCAAAGAATATCTGTCGTTCTACACAGATGCAAACAGTTTGTGAAAAATGCCGATTAACACGAAGACGACAAACGCCCAGGTTATAAATAATACACTCAGAAATACGCGTGTTAGTACATCTACTATGATGTCTACATGAAAGCCTTTGTTTCACCGTCTTGGTGTCAGAAAGTTCTCTGTGTGTGTGTCAAGTTTGAACGGAGTGGTTCCATATAGCAAACGCCCCACGACCCCAAATACACCTGCATGTACCATGTTCAGAGACCCCTTGTTTGAGTGCACTCCCACTTTCCTGCAGCGCCCTGATGTTTTTCCCGCTCATAAATCCCACTCCCCTGACCCTCATTATTCCAAGCGAAATAAAAGCGCCCCATAAAGCCTTGCAGATTCATGTTGCAATGACCAAAACGCTAAGCTACCAGATTTGGAGTCGGGTGTTACCTGAGACACTATCTTACAGAGCGCTGACGGGTCGGACCGTCGCCAAGTGGTCACCGTGCTTTCCAGGATTATATTCATATACACAAATTATTATTTGTATAAACAGATCATTACAGAAATTTGCATACAAATTGCGCCTCCTCCAGCTATTTAAAAAAATTCCCGTCCATGAAACTAGAAGTGCTTTTTAAGAACCCAATTTCCCGGATGTTGAGTGTTGACACCAAATATGCAATGTGTACTTGTTGGTTAGCTGCTATGGATTCAAAATGAACAGTCGCTTGGTACTAGGTGCCGGTGTAGTGCTGAATTCTGTGACCCACCGAATTCTGTGACCCTAGTAGGCGCTGTAGTGACGGTAGGGTTAGGATTGGGATTAGGAGTAGGTTGGATTAGCGCAATACAGCGCCTACTAGGGTCACATCATTTGGTGGGTCAAAGAATTCGGCACACCACCAGAAACATAACAACGGCCAATTGAACATGAAAGACGAATGAAATCGGGTCAAAATAAATCCCACATAGTATAATGGTAACGGTCATTGTGTCTTATTTCAGGATATCAAGTTAAGAGTCAAGAAAACACAGAATGAAATCAAAAAACACATGAAGAAGTGTCTATAACAAGAAAGAGGTCTTCAACCACCCTTCAGTTACACAAGAACAGGAAGACGACAGGCTAGTTTAACAGCAACTAGCTTGCACAGTGCTTGTATACATCTTATCCCACATTAATCCACTAGTCAGTGAGGAGGCATGAGTCATCTAATGTTGGTTCGTCTACAAAAGTTGAGTAGGATACCCCCTGGTGGTCACCTGACCTATGTGAGTGATAAAATGACTGAAAGTTGGAGGCCACTACACCCTTTAAGTCACTCTATATAATATTTCAACAAAATAACAACAATAATCTTTTTTTTTTTTTGAATAGTTATGTGCTTAATTTAGACCTCTGGGATTTAAAGGTAGGGATGTGATTAGCAGCGCTGATCAGAGGACAGTTTGAGTGGATTATTAAGGTCTATTGGTCAGGGTGTTCGTGTAGACACGCATGCACGTTTCAGTGCAGCTCTCCAGCCCTTCCCCTCAGCCCAAGCACACTATGGTGCCCAGCGCACGGGTCTAGTCTAGCAGGGAGGGCTCAGCGGGGCGGATAATGGTGGGCCGGTTTGGAGCGCCAGGGGGTCTTCTGCTGCAGGAGGAGAAAAGAGTGAGAAACAGAGGTGAGACATACCCACAACCACAGGGAAATGATTGAGGAGAAGGGATAAGGAATTAGACGAGGCGATGCGAGAAGGGATGAGAAAAGACAATAGATGAGGGGAGACAGACAAGACTAGACGAGAGGAGATGAGAAAAGACAAAAGGAGAAGAGCTGAGGCAAGAAGAGGTGACTAGATGAGACTAGAAGAGATGAGAAAAGACTAGATGAGATGACATCAGAGGAGATGAGACTAGATGAGATAAGAAAACAAGAGAAGAGATGAGGAAAGAAAAGGTGACGAAGAGTTGAAAAGCGATGAGAAGAGACAAGATGAGATGAGACTACTTGAGAGGAGATAAGACTAGATAAGTTGAGACAAAATTAGAAAATAAAAGATGAGGAAAGACAAGACTAGATGAAACTACATAGGAAGAGACTAGATGAGGATGAGGCAACATGAGAAAATAAGACTAGATGACATGAGACTAGACAAGAAGAGATGAAAAGCGAAATGAGACTAGATGAGAAAACACAAAAGATGAGGTCAGACAAGACTAGATGAGATTACATGAGAGGAGATGAGATGAGATGAGGAAAGAAAAGGTGACTAGAAGAGTTGAAAAGCGTTAAGAGACAAGATGAGATGAGACATGAGAGGAGATAAGACTAGATAAATTGAGATGAAATGAGAAAAGAAAAGATGAGACTAGATGAAACTACATGAGAAGAGATGAGATTAGATGAGACTAGACCAAAAGAATTGAAAAGCGAAAAGCAGAGAAAAGATGAGGAGAGACTACATGAGAGAAAATGAGACTGGATGAGGTCAGACAAGACAAGATGAGAGGAGATGAGGCTACATGAGAGGAGATGAGACTAGATGAGAGGAGATGAGATGAGAAAAGACAAAAGGAGAAAAGCTGAGGTAAGAAAAGGTGACTAGATGAGCCTAGAAGAGATGAAAAGAGACAAGATGATGAGAGACTACATAAAAGGAGATGAGAAAAGACAAAGGGAGAAGAGATGAGAAAAGAAGAGGCGAGTAGAAGATATGAGATGAGAAGAGACAAGACAAGAAACGACAGGAAGAGAAAAGCCGAAAGAGGCTAGATTAAAAAAAAACACACACACAGAGAAAACACAAGAAAGGACGAGATGAAAAGAAACAACGAGATGAAAAGAAACAACGAGATGAAAAGAAACAAGATGACATTAAAACAGACAAAAACAGATGGGAAGAGACAAGTTCAGGACAGATGAGATTAGAAAATGCCAGGTGAGACAAAGTGAGAAAGCACAAGAAAAAATTAGCTGAGAAGAGAAAAGAAAAGTAGAAAAGATTAAAGGAGAAAAAATGAGAATAGAAGTGATTAGGAGAGCCAAGGCTAGATGAGACTAGATGAGAAGAGAAGAAAGGAAGATGAGTCTAGATGAGTAGAGACGAGAAGTACCTCTAAAGAAATAAAAAGATGAAATGAGATCAAAAGAGGAAAATAAAAACACTGGAGGGTCAAGTAAGAATATCCTGAGAAAGAAATTAGGAAACAATTCGTTTGTGACAGGACAGAATGCAACTGTTAGTGAGAGAAGAATGAGAGCTGAAGAAAGAGTACATCACTCAAACCTTGACAAACCAAGGCTTCTTGAGTTTTTCAACAAACGTTCGCTCCTCTGAGCTTCAGACACCAGATGCTTGTTCTCACACACACACGCGAGGATACGTATCTCCATGGAGGTGACACACTGGTTAACAGTCTTACCTGGGGATGCCCGGAGGGATACGGGCGGGGCGGGACGGGATCTGAGGAGGGGCACTGAAAGGATCCAGGCTGCTGTTACTGAAGGCATTCATGGGCTGTCCTGGCCGAGAGGGAATGGGCGGAGCTACATAGGCAGGGATGGGGTTAAGAGTGGGCGGGCCTGGTGTTGGACCTCTCACTGCTGGAGGCCTGCTGGGGGGCGGGGCCGATGTAGGCGGTCTGCGCTGGGGGGTGGGGCTACACAGGACAGGAAAAGAAGACATTTGGAGTTAAAACAAAAGTTTATGAAGGACCATACTCTAAAGGGGATAGTTCACCCCAAAATTAAACTTGTATTTACTCATCTACATCGTTCCAAATCTCTATACAAAACGTATTTTTGAAAACGTCTGCGTTCGAAATCGCATACTTCATGGCCGTTGTATTTAGTATGAACGTTAGGGCTGGGACAATAAATCGATGCATCGCGATTCGTGGATCGATTCCTATTTTTTCCGAACACATCGCGATTCTCTCTCGAATCGATTCTGAGCTTAGCTTTGAACAGCAGACGGCGCGCTCTAGGCTAGTTTTTACCCGCAAGCTCAAATGCTCACGAAGAAGAGCGCTCGTGCTCAGAAAGCTTTCATGACGCTTTTATGATTATTTTATAGAAGGTTCAAGTGGTGTGTGTAAGGCATTGGAAGCCAGCAGATTACGACTGTTTCTAGAGCACGCAGTGCCATCTGATGTTAAAAAATAAGCTCAGAATCGATTCGAGAGAGAATAGCAATGCAATCGGGGAAAAAAAATGGAATCGATCCAGAATCATTTCTCGATTCACGATGCATCGATTTATTGTCCCAGCCCTAATGAATGCGTGTAGTATCATGTGTGTAGAATGTAATCCGGATGTACTACATCCGTTGTGTATTTGTTCTGGTGCGACTTCACAAGATGAGCAAGGTGCGTAAAGAAATATTGGAAGAGTGCCAGCAGGACTTGCAAAATGGAGAGATCAAGTTGGTCATTGTCATGTGACCCACACGGTTGCTTCGCCTCACTGCTGTTCACAATTTCAGTCCCGTGACTTTATGGGATAGTAAAGTGTCCATTGTATGTGCACTTTGGAATCTCACTGGAAGTAGGTCATTGCCTGAATAGTATGAATTCGGACATACTACTCTTTTCACATACTGTTTTTCACCTACTGTAATGCAGGAAAGTATGCAATTTAAAATGCAGCCCTAGTATTTTTTGTCCATATAAGTTTTTTTTTTTTTTTGGTCTCCAATCCCTTTCAGTTTATGGACAAAAACAGTTGCAACATTCTTCAAAATATTTTATGTTCCACAAAAAAAGAAAGTCTCAGTCTTGGAACGACATGAGGGTGAGTAAATGATGTGAACTATCCCTTTATTATTTCTGTAGCATTTAGCATGATGCAAATTGTGCACATAAAAGAACTACTAAATTAAACATTTGTGGATTAACGCGTACAGTTTCACATACTATTTTTAAAAACAGTATACCGTATTTTCCGCACTATACGGCGCACCGGATTATAAGGCGCACCTTCAATGAATGACCTATTTTAGAACATTTTTCATATATAGGGTGCACCGGATTATAAGCCGCATAAGATACTGCAGTCAAACGTTTGACTAGGTTTGCGTTATGCATCCACTAGATGTGCTAAAGGGAATGTCAACAAAACAGTCAGATAAAGTCAAACTTTATTAAAGGTGCCCTAGAATGTTTTTTTATTATTATTTTATAATGTTTCTTGGGTTGCCCTTATAATGTTAGTATGTTTTTTTAGATCAAAAATAGTCATAATTTAGAAATAAAAGGCATTTTTCCTAGCCTGATTTTAGCCTCTGATTTGAACGCTCTGTTTGAAGGGGCGTGTCTGCTGTGTGTCACCGGCCTCTGCTGTGATTGGCTGACATGCTTGCATATGAAATAGCTATGTATTACATGTGAAACTCTCTCGAATAATTTTACTACTGCTATTATACGTTTTTACTATTACAGCTATCGAGATTAACGAATCTTGAGATGTTTTTAAAGTATTTCGATCTATTCCCATCACATAAAATGTTGCCGTGATGAGCATTGAGCAAGCAGATGACAGTCTGCTGATCGCGGGACTGAAGATCTTATCATTGCAACACAGTTTCTGCACTCTCTCTAATGCTTTCACCAATGCAAACACGATCATGTAAATACAGTAAGAGCTTCGTTGTGCAGTGTAACGTGCGTCATTGATTTCATAACGAGTTTGGCAAGTGTCCAGATAAACTTGCTCTGTGGAAAGATTGTTCTTTGAACGCTTTCTGTATATAATTTATTCACAATTTAAATACGTTTTTTTTCATCCTACTAAAAGAAACGACGTGAAGCTGATATTTTAGTCACTGGCTTGACTTACTGATGCATAAACAGTATTGAAAGATTTTGAGAGAAAGATTACTTGTCTGAACACATCAGAAAGTGTTGCTTGCTCTCGATCCGAGGCCAGCTCTGTATTGGCCCAAGTTGAGGAAACAGTCGTCGGTGAAATGTTTGGAAATTTTCAGAGAAAATAAAATTAACCCATTGTTTCTTCAGAGGCTCAGATGAAGGAACTAAAGAATACTTTTGTGTTCATGTGTACATCCAAACACTGAGCAACTGCTATGCTTCGGCTGCGCAGTTCCGCCTGGCATTGAACATGGGCTGGCATATGCAAATTCTTGGAGTCGTACATATTAATGATCCCGACTGTTGCGTCACAGTCGGTGTTATGTGGAGATTCGCCTATTTTTCAGGGGTGTTTTTCAAAAAAGGGATTTAAGTAAGAAGGAGAAACCAATGGTGTTTGAGACTCACTGTATGTCATGTCCATGTACTGAACTCTTGTTATTTAACTATGCCAAAATAAATTCAATTTCACATTCTAGGGCAACTTTAAGCGTTCTGACAACTCCGTTCACTCCCATGGTAACGTTGTTCAAACGTTAAAGGAAAACTCCGGTCAATTTTAACATTGAGCTCATTTTTGGTAAATTTGGAGTGCTGTCAGTACAGATAACAACGACAAAAACCGGTGTTGCCTACACCGTGTTATCCTCTTTTTAAAATTTGCACCCTGTTGACTTAAACGGGGCAAGTTTTAAACCTGCTTTTAGCCTCTTAACAACCTTAATGTGTCATTACAAGTGCACGGCCATGTGAGTGAACACGGTGAATCTGACTGTGGTAAATGTGAAAGATATGAATAAAAATGCTGTTTATTCAGCCAGCTCACATACCCGTATTTTCTTCCTGTTTTCGGTCGAAGTCCACAGTAGGCGACTGTCGAGTGCGCGCGCGCGATCATTGGTAACTAAGCAACAGTGGAGACTCAGACTGTCAGCTGATGACGGTGCTGTGTGGTGTTCTGAGAATATCAGCTCAAATGGATAGTTCATCCGAATCAGATGTTGAACACACGGAGGAGGTTTGATCACGCGCGCAAACTCGACAATCGACTACTGTGGACTTCGGCCGAAAACAGGAAGTAAATACGGGTATGTGAGCTGGCTGGATAAAGAGATTATTCCTGCCTTCGTGAAAGCTCGGATCACAGTTGAGACTGATATATCAGCCCAGGCATCCACGATCCATTGGCAGATAGTGGCGTAAGTCGCCCGGCGCTGTCTCCCCGTCTTGGTGAACGTGTGTTCACCATCCATATATAAGGCGCTCCGGATTATAAGGCGCACTGTCTTTTTTTGATAAAATTAAAGGCTTTTAAGTGCGCCTTATAGTGCGGAAAATACGGTACTAGTCTGAACAAAGAAAACCACAATAATGGGAATCTAATTCCTTCACAGCCAAATGCATGTTGTTCATGTTCTAACCTGGACTCCGGCACCCAGCTGTCGTTCACGGGAGGAGGCACGGGGGTGGACACGGTGCTGGTGCTAATGTCTCCGATGATGCTGAGCGCCTCTTTGATGGCATGGTACATTCGCAGCATCTCGTCTCTGCGCTGGGCCTGGTCAGCAGACTCCTCCATCAGACTGTTCTGATCTCCTGAGGAGTACAGGTACGCCAGCAGCTCTGAATGGATGAAGTCTTTAGCCTGGGGAAAGAAAGACAAGAGAACGATGTTTGCAATACCGGTACATTCAAATCAATGCGTTTCAATATGCTTACAACACAAACGGTTGAGTACTTACGCTGTTGATCATGAGATGCATGATAGTCTTGGGCATGAGGTCTCGGATGGTCTTGTTGACGATACCAATGTAGGAGTCCACCAGGTTTCGGATGGTCTCCACCTGCCTCTCCAGCTGAGGGTCCATGGAGAAGGTGTCGGCTGGGGCGGCATCTTCTGTCTCCACCTACACACACACACACACACAATGAATGAATGAATTTTAAAGACAACATCAAATTCAAATTGATCTACATCCTTAATAAATGTACCGGTTTCTTATTGTGGTCAATACATTAGTGCGCACTATTCTTAAGAATAAAGTTTTCTTTTATCTTTCATCAAATTGTAGTTACTTTCTCCATCTATAAGATAGCCTCTACTAACCTAACCAAGACCATGATACTAGAAAATATGATACTAGAAAACATGACTGATGTGTGCCCATGTTAAAGCTGCATAAAAAGGTGATCGGGATGAAAGATATGATTGCTAAAATGTTCTAAAAGATTTACCGATGTACTCTAAAGGCCCATTTTCTCCAAGAACAATAACTATAAAGATAACTCTAACGATTACTATATTAGTGTCCACACCAATGCACCAAAACATACTGTTTATACTAAGCGCGTGCTATAATTGTCATCAGCCACTTTAAATCCTTGAGGTCTTTAAAGCAGGATGGATTCTGATTGGCTGTCGATGTTTTTTTTTGTTCATCAGCTGGTCATTGTTATAGTGTGGTGTGGCCTTTGCTATTCTTTTAAATTTACAACAATTTGTTATTGTTAGAGCTATCATTCTCGGTGTGAATGAGCCTTAAATGTTTTTAACGTGGTTGAAGTGTGGTTGCTAAAGTGTTTCTGGCTGGTTGCTTACTCAGATTGCTTCGTAATAATACAGTAATAACGTAATAACACACCTGTCTTTAACAAGCAGCAGAATTTAAGATATCATGTCAATAGCACAAATGGATTATCTGCCTAATTTTGTTCAAATCCCTAAACCCCAAGTATATGTAATAATAATAGCAATGTTTGCCTTAGAAGCATCACCATCACCACTACTACAACAACTACTTCTACATTAATCCATTCCGAATACATTTTAAAACGGTGTTTTTGTTTCAAAATGCTCCCTGTTCACACTAGTTTTTTCAAAAGCTTTCCAAAAGTTGCTCATCCACACTGAAATGTCTGAAAAAATGCGTAAAGTCCATGTGCAAATTCATAAGTCAACACCATTGCTGAGTATTTTCTCTTTAAAACTGCAGTGAACCAAAAACAGTCTCAAAAACACGGTTTGAAATCGCTGGTGTTTCTGACGTCACAAACTACCTTGTAACCAATCAGGTCAACGTGCCGACGGGCTTTAGCAAATCATTAACAGCGAACTAGCAGGGCAGTCTCGAGAGATGCCAGGTTATCCCGGGATATTTCGGGATATTTAGCAATATGGCGGGCGTATGATGTATATTACTATGTTCTGATGAACTATATGCCTTTCTCCACTGACGTTCTGAGATGTTCAAATGAGTGTTCAAATGAAACATTTGTACCTGATCCTTCTCAGGGTAAACACCCGCTCTGAGAAAAGAGGCTTTCCAGCTATCCATGTCCTCCTGTGTGTCACAGGCCAGCTCGATCTGACGCAAGTCCTTATACACGTTCCTGCAAGGGGGATCGAACACATGAAGTCACCGAACACCAAACGCAAACACAAACATAGAGAGAGCAGTCGGCCCTGACCTTTGCTCGGTGTTGAAGATAGCAAAAATGTGCTTATTGGACATGAAGCCTTTCTCCACGTCTCTGAGCTTCAGGTTGTCCAGAGGGAGCATGTATTTCTTCTCTTTTTCCTATTAGAGTGAAACGAGAGAGGAAGAACAATCTTATAAAGCACTTCACAGTGCATGGTTGCACAGAAAAGTTCTGCGTGAAGATTCTTCTTTCGTGATCAACAGGGACAAAATGACGGGGAGTAAATGATGGCCGGATTTTCATTTATAGAGTGAACTGTCCCTTTAAAGGACCACCAGGTTGCCAAGCAAGAGAGGGGGATGTGAGACAGAGAGAGAGAAAAGAAAGAGAAGAGGAGGAGTCTGGATGAGGACTAATGCTGCCAACTCGTTCTGTTGCGTTGAGAAGCAGCATCTGGAAACGTTTATGTCTGCAAAGCTACGGCCCCAACAGTTACATCACTCAGAGGAACACTTCCCTGCCCCCAACACACACACACACCCCAGTAACCCAGTACGATTTCCTGCAAATTCCAAAGTCGGATCCCGGCTGGAACATTTCAGTGCGCTTGCCACGTCACTTTGCCTCCCCTTTCGTCCCTTTTTTTACTTTCGTCCCGCTCTTCGTCTCTCCTTTCTCCATTTGCCGCTTTCTCTTCGCTTCGGAAAACCACAGCTAAAGGAACATTTCTCTGTGTTTCTCGTAAAACGATGGTAAAGAGCGAAAACCGCCAACTGTTCAGATTGTGAGAAAAGAGCCATGATGGCAGAGCGGTCCGGATTTCTCTTGAAGAAACTGCAGAGGCCTGGAATATACATTTGCCACGCAGCAAGTGGACTTAGTGAGTATACCGAATATACGTTTTAAATTCATTCGTAATGTAAAGATTATCAAGAAGTAATGCTGGGATATGTTATTCTGACCGGTTTCATCCTATTTTAGATTCATAATATATTTACTATAATTTCTTGTGAATATGTGGGCCAGTTTGAATTACTTGATTCTTTGTGTGCCTTCATTAACTCAGCACGGAAAGCTTTTTAAATGTACGAATATAAGGTCACATTTCACCCCCAAATCAAAGGATATTATACTTTTGCATTAAAAAAATGAAACACTTTTTCAATGCGCCATTACTTTCATGAGAAATAAAACATCATTAACGTAATATGTACGGGTATTTTAATTTGGATTTTTTATTTTTGCAATGATTCTAATTGGACTTGTTGCTCACTATTATTTTACTATATTATACTTTACAACTGAAATATCAATATTTTTGTTCACATTCCAATAATGGGAATGAGATTTTAGGGATTTTGATGATAAAAAAATTGCTCTTGAAATGATTAAGAAAAAAGTTCTCTTAATGATTACATAACAACCTTCATTTACTTTACTTTTTATCGCTTTATTTGAAATAAGCAGTGACCCGAACATGTTCTCGACGGGTTTATCAGTGTGCCTGTCTGAACTGTTTACTCTCCTCTGCAGTCGTGTGCGGTCCTCGGGGCAGTGACCTGCGGTCCAGCCGCCCTCTTGCCTCCCCCCCGCCTGCCCAGTGTTCAGACTACCTGTTCATCATGCTGCAGCTGAACAGTAGTCCGCACATTGGTTAGGCTGGGCAGGGACACACACACCCGCGCCTCGAGCAACAAGGACTCTACCATTCGCCGCTGGACGGGGGGGGAGGGATTTTACGAATACACAAACTCTCTTGGGGACTAAAGTAAGACGTGTACATTAATGCATTTAGCAGATGCTTGCATCCCAAAAGCAACTTACAGTATACATTGAGAAATGTGAATGAAAAGCATGGCGTTGACGTTACCAGCACCATGTTCTACCAGTCGAGCCATGAGAACTCTGCTAACGTTCGCACTCATTTCAAACACACATGGGGTTCCGAGTCCAACTTGAGTGGCGCTAGTTCGAGAGGGGGAGGGTCTGTGAAAGAGAAATGAAGAACAGATGAATCTCACCTCCTCGTCCTTGTACCAGGACACCGATTCGGCCGACAGGACGAACCAGTACTCCTTTGAGCCGCCCTTCATGATGCTGATGTTGAGGGTTAGCCAGCCTTTACGGATCACCTGTGGGACAGAAGGGTGGGAAGGGGGGAGGGTGTAGGGCATGCCACAAGGGTGGGGAAAAACTCATGAGATCCATTCCACACACTTGTATATATTCAACAGTCTTTGTTCTGGAAGCTTGTGTCCTATGCTGAACCTAAAAACCCTATTGTGCAAACCTTCGACACTTACCTGCTGAGGAAATATTTTCTGGTACCCTGCCAAAACTTTTGTTGTTGTCACCACTTCTAACGACTAACCTGAACAACTAAATAAAGATGCTTCGTACATTACAGTCGTGGTTCTCAACTGGTTTAGCAACATTCAGGTGTGGCCAAATTGGCGACATTTCATTGAGATTTAACCGGCCAAACGGTCAATTGTTCATTATCAATTGTGTAGCGATGTATGAAGCAGAACTCGTACAAAGGCCTTTCAAACAAGCGGCTTTCTGAATTTGACGCATTGGCCAACTTGACCATAAGAAAAATCTGCGTGGGGAAATCTTTCGCCCTCAAGCGAAACTCCCGATCGCGTGGATTTAGTTAACTATAATAACCCTGTTGTGACTGGGCCTGTCGATATGCACAATCATATGCTTATTTGCACTTTATTATTCACAATTCGACTTGCATTTTTTTCAAACCTGAGATGTTTAGGTTGCGACTCACCAGTTGGGAACCACAGGATCTAGCGTTAAAACTACATGGAGTCAGAACATAAGGCAGCAATTAAAGCTTAGTCACAAAAGAAACGCTCCAGAAACCCTGAATAAACACTAAGAAAACCACTGGGGAGTGTCTTGAAGTCTTGAAATAGAGCAACAATAAAAGTACAAAGGAAAAACTTTGTTGTGTTTGTCGATTTTTTCGAAAAGCAATGTGGAAATGTGACAGCAGATGCCATCCAGACCAACTGGCCTGCCAGAGGAACGGAGGTCAGAGGTCGAAAGCGGTATGTTAGGGTCAAATTGGTGAGTAAAAGCTAACCTACATACTGGTAAACAAGCAGCGTTAGTAGTGTTAAATGGAGAAAGACGTACACTCAAGTGTGAAAATCTACTGAACAGGGAGGAATAGTGAGAAGGCATCGGTAGGCGAGTCTACTGGTAACCAAAGGCTGTTTGCTAAGAGAAGGTAGAGGAGTAGGAAGGGAATGTAAAAATGTTAGTTAAGGAAACAGAGTTTAAAAAGGGAGGGGGAGGGCTTTCAGCAGGATTTCAATGTTATTTTTGAGGGTTAAAAGGTATCCGGAAGTCAAGGATTGTGGGATCAAAATGAATCTTATTTACGATCTTAATGCACATTCTAGTTCCGTCCTGGTACTACATCTTTACTTCGTAATACCACACGGCATCAATGATATTAAACTTATCTCATAACGGAAATACATATCTGCCACAAGCATTTCTAAGATACCATCCCTTTTCTCCCTTTCCATTTTGCTTTGTTCTCTGTAAAGTCGGAGTGAAACTAAGAAGAGAGGGTTTGAGTTAGTCAGAGAGTGCCAACAGAAACAACACAGACGTAAAACTAATGGCACAGACTATATAGATTGTTTGCCTTGGTGGGGAAATGCCTTCAACTTTCTCAAACCTAGAAACCTGATAACCATCTCTAAGAGGGGGAAAAGACAGAAGAGAATAAGGTGAGAAAAACGCCAGGACATTTACGGCTCAGGCATCTCGCGTTAGGAACGTACTGTAGCGACCCGAACAAATGACCACAAAAACGCTCTCGAATATCTTTTTAATAGACAGAAATCCAGCAAATATCTGCGGTCAGAGCCTGACTCGGGCTCTGTATTCTCTAACATGGATCCGATTTCCCTTTGCCGCCCACAACTGGAAGAAACGAGAGCATGACCCTATTTTCCGTTAGTGTTTGGATTTCTCTGCTCCTCGACGTCGCACATTCTTACTGTCGTCTCTCTAGCTTACACTAATTAATCCTAATATTATGTAAAGTGTATAATTATCAACAATTAATAAAAGAGTTGGCAAAATATGATCAGCTGTCTTATTAAACAGAAATCTGTTGATAGAACGGGTGATTTTTGAATTAAAGATGAGATGATTAGATGATTACCTGTGAGAGGCGAATGTTAATTACCCCAACAGAAATCCCTCAATTAAATTTGTCCCAAAAAGGATTTCTCTAAGGTTGAGCGGTTAATTTCGTAAATGTGAGTAGACTGATCAGTAAAAGAAACCCAGTACTGCCACATTCTGGCCATTACTGGCACACCAAGGGGAGAAAAAAACAACTAAAAACTAAATACCAACCAGATTTTACAATTGTGCTGATTTAAAACACTTTTATTTGCCCATTAAAAGGGATAGTTCACCCAAAAATTCTGGCATAATTTACTCAGCATCAAATTGTTTCAAACCTTAATGAATTTCTTTCTTCTGTTGAACACAAAATAAGATATTTTGAAGAAGTCAATGGGGCCGGCCCATCAATGGTTACCAAAAAGATCTTCTTTTGTGTTCAACTCATACGGAACAACACGAGGATGAGTAAATGATGACAGAATTTCATTTTTGGGTGAACTATTCGTTTAAGTTTCCTAAGGGCTTTACTTGTTTTGTTTGTTTTTCACTTTTTTACTTTGAGCTGGTAATTTCAATTCATCTCAGGGAATCAGTTCAAACTGCCAAAATAGTTTCAAATCTCTGATTCAATTATTCACCAAATTAAAAATGCTCATGCTTTAATTAGACTTGTATTGTTTACTTTTAAATCTTGACAAGAATGGCTGTTTGGATGCAATGATATTGAATAGACCAATTTCCAGCCGACGTCACAGTTACGTCACGGCGCTAGCTGGTGGCAGAACAAAGGGAAAACTGGAGGCGGCAAATACAAACCAGCACAGATTCGGCTACAAAATAAGGATCTTAAATTATTATTCTTATTATTAAATGTCATCTTGTTGTGTTGTTGGGTGCAAGAATCAATGAAAAATGAATATGCTTTATCTGCATTTTTTTTATTTCTAGAAAATATTCACCTCATTAAAATTGCACCGTAATGTCACTCTTTACATTGTCGTCTTCATCGCGCTGGCTCGGCAGAACTGCGGATCGTACCACACAAGTCTTGTACTTGACCATTCAGCACATAGTTATAGGCATCTAAAAATGTATGTGCCCTCTGTTTCTCTATCAGGTAGGTGTAGAAGTCAGGCCACTCAACCGGAGGTAGCGTTAACGTTAATACTGTCAGATCCTCAATCAATGAGTGTAAGGGTCGGCCAATCTGGTTCCATCCGTTAAAATTAACTTTTGCAAAAAACAATCGTGGTCCTGGACAGTGAGCGACCTTGCACATTAAGATAAAATCGGATTTTCTCCAGCCATTGTTAAAAACAAGCTAACAAAACTTGCAGACTTTACGTTAGTGAAGCGGCCAGAGGGATCGTTCTGCCACCACCTAAGCTCCGCCCACAGAAAAACGTCACCATGTTTACCAACTGAAAATTGGTCTATATTGTTAAAAGGTTTTGTTAAAAACCAATATAGCACAGTCCTACATCAGAAGTGTTGCTAGTATGAAGAAAACAATCATGTGTCAATGGAAAATAATTTCGATTAGCTGTTCATGGCAAACACACTTAAAAAATCAATAAAAAAAATCAATCATTCATTCATTAAAAATGCACACCACATAAAGAAAACTCAAACACACTCCAAATGTTATCTTGGGTTCGGGTTTGGCTCTTTAGTATGATTGGATGTTTTCTTGGCCCCGCCCACCCACCCACCAAATACCCCAGGCGACGTAAAGGCTGATTCTCCACAAGGCAAACTCTGCTCACCCAGCCTGGGCCGCCAGGACTCACGTCCAGCAACAGGACAACCGAGGCCTCCATTTCACTCATATATGCTTTTCTTGTTAAAAAAATAAAATAAAAAATCCTTTCATGCAAACACAAAAACACTGTGCACTGTGAATTTTTCTCTAAATAAATGGTTAGTAACGGTCTCTTGGTTTAATTACAAGAATTACCGAATGTTAGGTGGTGCCACTAATTACAGTGGGCATTTTATGGTGGATTTGAGGTCAGTTACTGATTACACGTAACTGTAATTGAACAACAAACTACGAATTATTTTTTTTTATTCCAGGTTCCACCATTTTGGTTTTCCACCAGACTATACCTTCTCGACTTCGCCTTCTCTCAGGCCACCTAGCTGCAGAGTGAAAGAAAAACCATCAGCTTTAAAACTCTTGGCCGTAAAGTCAGCACACAGACATCCCGCCTATGAGTTGGTTGCCCTGTTACGGCCTCAGTTCTCCTGACTGGATGAGCGCTGATGACCTCTAACTGGGTGTGGCTTGAATGTTTGTGGTACTTACCAGTACTTCACCCTGCAGTGATAGGAAGGGAGGGGGGGGGTGAGTTTTGGGTAGAATAAATGAGGCAGAGACACAAGAAACAAAGCAAGAAAAGGAGGACAATGCAGGAGGAAGTATTAGAAAGATATGTTTTTCAAATGGAGATGAAAAGGTTTGAAAGGGACAAGAGTGTGATGGAGTGAGTCAAAGAAGAGAGAAGGAGTTACAGCGAGAAAAGAGTTGGGAAGACAGGGAAGCAGACACATTGTGAAAGAGAGAAAGAGAGAGAGAAAGAGAGAGAGAGCAACAGAACAAAGTTACATGCAATTAGATTAACTGACAGTACCACAAATCAGAATTATCTAATAGGTCGTGTCATTGTCACGGCTGCATCCATGCACATTCTCAATTACACTTCAAAACATAGAGGGGAAGTTTGCTTTACATTAGGGCAAGACTGAAACAAATAGAACAATGCACTGATTATTCATTTGTCATGCGTCAGTGTTACTAGCAGCTAGTATTGCTGTGATGCTAGTGAAAGCGCAGTTTCTCAAAAGCAGGGGAGGAAATGAAAGGGAATGTCCCTGTCTAATAACACAGCGTACTTTCAAGTTGCTTGTGTCATTTCCACTGAAACCTTAAAACACGATAAGCCCATTTCAGGCTCTTTCATGTTTCTAACTGTGTTACTCTTTAGTGCAGAGAAATGTTAATTCAAATGAAACGGTACACAAATACTAACACTGTGTCCTAACCAGGTGTGACGTGACAAGATTCAAGTTGCCAACACAAATCATGACATAATGCTTCACAATAACAGCCAAATTGGATTTATAATCTAGCGGTTTAGTCAGGACGTCAGTTTGTAGACAAGCCCGGAAGGCTAATAGACTTTGGCTTCCTTCAGAAATTTCCTATGGGTTTTTGGATTCTGAGTAAAATAAGGTACTTGTTTAGACTGCACGTCATTTATGTTGCAGAACAAAACATGAAACATCCTTTTAATTACCTGAAACTCGAAAATGCGAACTCACTTCCAGGTTTTAGGACTTATTATAAACAACATTATTATTATTATTAACAACGATAAAAAAGTAATTTTGCTTGTTGCGGTCGGTAAAGGCAAAAACTCAGTTTTACATGGAAGCCATAGCCATAGAAGCTCGTTGCTTCTTTCTTTTTTTTTACACCTGGTAAGGACACTGTACAAAAGGGTGTAGTTGATGACATGTATAAATGATAGAGGCCTTGGGGAAACACATTGTTCAGTTTTTGATCAAATGAGGTAAAGTAAAAGGGTTGCTTTGTAAGGGATTCATCAGGGTTTAGTGTTTGGCCCTTTTGTGTTTAACTGGAATGGTGGCGGGAGTGATTGTGTTGGAACGAGGGATGTGGGGAAAGATAGAGGGATATCAGAATGGATTCAACAGCATGTGGAAGTAGAGAAAAATGTACCTGGTTGGGAATGGCCCTCTTCTTGTTGACGATATTTCTTTGCTGGGCGCTGCAGGTGGGGGAAACGGAAAAAAACACTAATTACACACTGATTGGATGCTGCAGTATGTATTGTATGAATAGCACAACAATAAAACAATATCTGTGTAAACCTCCCTGGCGCTCTGGGTGGGAGCGATCCTGCCACTGAGGCAGGAAGATGGGAGGAGCGGGAGGAAAAAGAGGAGATGGGTGGTCTGATTAACATCTATCTAAATGTAGCTTGGTGACTGAGGGGGCGCTAGCGCACCTGTTGTTGGCGTACCCTGGTATGGTACCGTCATCCATCCGTCTGAAGTCAAGACTGAAAGTGACGGCATGAGAACCGTTAACAGAGGTGCCCTGACAAACTCACGACATGCGCATGGAGGCACACGCAGGACGAGCAGGGTCAGACAGGCTTGATGCTGTAGAGTAGCTTTGCCTCAACTCTTGAAAGCTCTACAGTAACCAACGGAGCATGCAGACATTTCACATGCAAGTCTTAAGTGGTGCACTAGCTGTCTGAGAGGTCAAAGACATGCACTAATAATTTGAGTGCACTTAAGTTACGTCCAATGCATTATCCATAATGCACTGAAACTGATCATTTTAGTCCACTGCACTGACAGTACAAAGGAGATGCAGCACAAAAGATGTTTTAAGAGGTTAAAAACATCCTGCAAATACCGATATCAGTTTTCTAAATATTTAAATTACATCTTAATATTGTCGATATGTTTTAAATGCCCCACGAACAACACAGAGAAGGTAATATAGCTTGGGGACGTCAAATGTACTGATGCTTCGATACAAAGTTCATACAGAAAAAGTTATGATAAAAAAAAAAGTATTTTCATTAAAACGTTTTTAATGTTTTTTGAAAGAAGTCTCTTATGCTCACCAAGGCTGCAGTTATTTGATCAACAGTACAGTAAATACAGTAACATTGTGAAATGTTATTTACATTTAAAACAACTGTTTTAATATATTTTAAAATGTAATTTATTCAAAGCTGAATTTTCAGCATCATTACTCCAGTCTTCAGTGTCACATGATCCTTCAGAAATCATTCTAATACTATGATCTGCTGGTCAAGAAACATTTCTTATTATTATTATGAATGTTGAAAACAGTTAATGCTGTGCAATATGTTTATTGAAACGGTGATAATTTTTTTCAGGATTCTTTGATGAATAAAAAGAATACCATTTATTTGAAATAGAAATGTCTAACATTATACATGTCTTTACTGTCACTTTTGATCAATTTAATGCATTCTCGCTAAATACAAGTATTAAATGTATTTACCTGCAATTAAACAAGTTTACGAACCTGACCATATCTGTGAATTGCATGAAGGCTACATACCATTGTCGTAATATTCAATGTTAACATTTATTTAATCATGGAAAAACTAAATGATGAGCAAACTTCCAGGCAAAAAAACAAGAAATTCGCCAGAATTTTATATTTGCTAATGCTATGCTATATTTGCGCAGAGATAAAAAAATATATATATACAGTATAATATACACATATATATTTTTTTTTTCAAAGTTTGCTTTCTCGAGCCATCCAGGCACTGTTGTTGTGCGAATGAGCGGGCCGCTGTCGTGTAAGCGGCTCCTAATTTAATAACTGATGATCTTTGCAACTGAAGTGAAACGATCAAAACTAACTTTAGCTGGACAATAACTTTATTCTAGAGCTGCTGTAAAGCCAAAACAATCTCTGTTACTTTCATTTCCTATGATCACAGTAAAGCTGCTTTGAAACAGTCCATATTGTTAAAAGCGCTATATAAATGAAGGTGACTTGCCTATGTTCGTAGCTTTGAACCTTCTAAAGATTCGAGAGTTTTGTTTGAGAGACACATTATATTCTGCTTTGCTCTTATGAATAAATGTGGTTTCAGATAAACTCATGTGAAAAGGTCAATTGTGGTTGGTTGCTTTACACGTCGGCCACATGGCCTGTCTACGCCAGTCTAAATAAACTGCACCGCCGACCAGACTTACAGACAGTCAAAAGTCTGGATACGCAAGACTAAAGCGCCGCTAAGGTTAGGGGTGAGAAATAAAACCCAGAATTCGCCACACTGGATGCTACACATACTTTGCAAATCCAATGAAGTCCTCATGGTTGGTGTTGATGTATGACAGCTCAATGTCAATCAGCAGAAGGACCTGGTAAAGACAATCATTTTGCACAATGAGAAAATAATGAAAAGACTCTGCGATAAAAAGGGGATCTTCTCTCGTTGCTCTCGCACCTGGTCCTTGGTCTTTCCTTCTCTCTCTCTGACGTAAGTGGTGACGATCCTCTCGGTTTCTTCTCGCAGTCTGGGGTAAGAGCCTAGCTGTGGGGAAAAACACCAGATAGATGCAGGCTACAGCATGTACACATGGCCACACTCACACTTACAGAAACACACACACACGCGCGCGTTCTGCGACATGAAAGTGGTAGGAGCTAACCACAGTTAGACCTTTAAACACACGTCGATGTGAGGACTAGTTTTAGCTAAGCCACCGTGCACAAGAAGAATCAGTGCGAGAGAGAGAGCAGACATGCACACACTCACACCTACAAGCATGCGGATTTGGGGATTTCAGCAAGTTCTGCAGGTAAGACAACATTCACTCCCAGCTAGGAATAGACAGTGAACGAATAAATGAAGTTCTAAAGTACAGTAAACCAAATTTAAGGGATGGTGTTACTAGGGTTGGGAATCGAAAACTGGTTGTGGATATGATTTTAAATGACTGACTTCAATTTAAAATATCAGCTTTGTTTCATAATTGACACATTTTGCAACATCGACACTGTTATTGAACTGAATTGAATCAACACTGAACTGACTCAAAGTGAATAACGACACTATCGTCTTCTGCTTCTAGCTGAATTGAACTTATTTCATAATTGATGAACTCTACACAGTCAATAAACTGAACTGAATCAACGCTGAATCAACTATTTTCACTATTTTTCTGTTTATCTCTGTAAAGCTGCTTTGAAACAATCTGTACTGTATTAAGCGCTGTGTAAATAAAGGTAACTTGACTTACAATACTACAGCCATATGAGTAAGTTTTGTTCTGGTAACAGTTATTATATACAGTCTTCCATTGACGCAGACAGGTTTCTTCAAAACCAAGGCAAAATGCATCGTTTTAGTGATTTGTTTAAAACTCTTTATGAATCAGCCAAATTAATCTCAAACTCATTGGTCTTAAATGACTCACTCACTCACCGAATCAGCCGCAGTTGTTACTGAGACAACAACGGGCTAACTTCAAGTCCTTATTTTTGGTCAAATTAGACTTGAAATAAACCAAGAACTGTGTTTTGTGTTGTATAGACCTTTTTAAAGTTAATATAAAGTGGGACCTGTTGTACATAAAGACATAAAATCTGTTTAATTACTGATTGGTTGTTCATATGACAGTGTGTATGAAAGATACACATTCAGAATTTTAAAAAATATATATATATTTTTTAAACAATATTGTTCAGTTGAGTATTTTTATAATTTAGAGTTTTTTAATATTTAAAAAAAAAAAATGTAACAATATAGTGCAGCATCAATAATTTGGTGCTTCCTCAAATGTATTAAAATAATCATTCAAAATGGAATTGGAACTAGAATCGCTAAATTCCTCACGATTCCCATCCCTAGTACTTAAAACTGATCAATCTTAAGTGATACAATTATTTGATGTTAACAAATATTTTGTGAAGTGCAGGAAATAGTTACTTTTTGAGGAGAAAAATCTCTTCCAAATCTGAGAGTGAAAAAGTGAAAAGATTTAAGAAAATGAAAAAAGTAAAAAAAAAAGAAAAGGGTGTGACATTGGGGAGGGAAGACAGAATCAACACAAATATTGCACTGCGGTTCCTCCTACGGCCACAAGATGGCGGGTGACCGGTTCTTTGTTGCTATGACAACAGCAGCAGCCTTTTTGTGTCTGGAGTGGTTGGCAAACCGTCTGTCACTATGTTTTTTTTTTTTTTTACTTTTACAACCAGAGGTTCAGATTAACTGATGCTCTACTAAAGCAACAAAGAGCGAGATAAGGTGATGAGCCACTGACAAACACTGGAACTGGGGCTCAAAAGCTGATTCAACTTAAAAACACCCCGTTTTCCCAAGCAATCCGGATGCTATTTGTTGGAGTCACAGGGACTATGGAAATGTGAGGCTCATTATGGAACAGGAGACCAACTTCGGACATGAACACATTCCAGACAGACGATGGGCGGGGGCTGATTTGATATAGATGGAAAGCTGAGGCGGCGGCAGGCGGGCAGCAGTGTGGAAATGGAGGAAGGAGGAGTTTTTGTTTTTTTTGGGCTCTGCCTCTTCTCGATCCGTGCTCCTGGTTACCTTGTTGGCACTTTTCCTGACGAGGGTGGTGACTTCGGACACCACCAGGTCCACACATTTCAGGCTGGGCTCTTTCAGTTTGCGGATCTGCTTTTTCACTATAGTCTCAAAGGCCAGGTCAGGGGTGAACAACCCCGTTCTGAGGGGGGTCAGGGTGATGCCGTTGGGCGGGGTGGTGGGGGGGGGGGGGGGGGTATGAAGAAGAAGTGTGGAGGTGTTAAAAGAGGACAGAAAAAAAGAGAAAGAAGGCAGAAGAGAGCATGGAGAAGGGGAAGAATAAAAAGAGAGGAAACTTTTAGTTGATTAATCATTGCTTATCTATCAACAGATACAAAGTTAGGGTCCAAAAGGGGGAGTCGCAGGTTTTCACATCCATGAATTATGAGTTTAATATACATACCCTACAGAAAAGTCTGTTCAAGTCTACAACTAAATACGTCTAAAAGGGGTGTCCAATCCTGTTCCTGGAGGGCCAACGTCCTGCACAGTTTTGCTCCAACCAGCTCAAACCGGAAGTTTCTAGTGAGTCTGAAGACCTTGGTTAGCTGGTTGAGGCGTGTTTAATTGGGGTTAGAGCTAAACTGTGTAGGACAGTGGCCCTCCAGGAACAGGTTTGGACACCCCTGGTCTAAAAGATTTGCAAAAATATTCACACCAAGTCCAATGCTACAATACAGTATAAAAAAAACAATATTAAATATATTAAAACTAGTAACCTAGCCTTCAAAGATCCATTGTTTTGGTTTAAACATTTTGAAATACTGGAATCCAATGGTTTATATGACATTTCTGTTAAAGTTGCGATGAAACGGATGTGTGTGACACAATTTGGAGGAAAAGATCGGTAGCTACTTCAGAGGGAAACGGATTATCGAAAAAGGAAAAATGTCGGACGGGACGGTTGATTGGATTTTGAGATGTGGACGTTGCACTCAATAGTGGAGGCAGGGGTGGGTTTAAAATGGACTAAATGATTGGAGAAGACCTGAATATGTCAGCAGAGAAAGTCTGTCGTTTTTACCAGAAAGTCCAGTTTTGACATTTTGATTAAACGTTACCAGCTTTGCACAGAATTGAATTGTTCACACAATAAGACCTATAAAAACAGTTTTATTTTAATTTCATGTTGACTTTAATAGCTCTTCAACATCTGTATTCTTCAGCCAATGCGGAGAGAATGGCACATTAAATTACTAAGAGCCATTCGACTGAATCTACAGCACTGCGGCAAAGAAATGATATTCCCCCAGAGCTGCCAAGTCTACGCTGGGAATGAGAAAGAAAAAAAGCCAAAACAAGACACCCACACACAATGCAATAAAACGTGTGCATGCAAAAAACACAACATACACAACCAGTATAGTCCAATTTGTGAACAAATTACTTGTACACTGGTTCTTTGTAATGAATCAGTCAAAATGACTTGGTTCTTTGTAATGAATCAGTCAAAATGACTCGAATCTTATAAAGACCCCCAAACCAACAAGTTGTTGATTTAAATTGGTGAAAAAGATTGAAAAAAATTAAGTCTCCAACTCAAGAGTTAACAGTTTAAATCAGTCTAAAGTCTAAATTGATTGTAGAGGTCTTTGACTTACTTGCTGAATGATAAGGCATTCATTTTGAGACAACTCGACACAAACCAAAAACTGTTACTGTGATGTATTCTCGCCCTAGCAAGTACACTAAAGTGTACTACTATTGTATGCTAAAGTGTATTTTTGTATCACAAGGACGAGACTCAAGGTTCAAATGACAATGTGCTGTTAAAGCAGCACATTTTGAGTTGTGTTGTAATGTTACCGTAACGTCGGTTTTGTGGTTTTGTTCCAAGTTTGTTTTCATGACAATGAAAACTACAAAATAAAAGGCATGTTTCAAGTTCCTGTTTTTCATGTGATTCCCTTGTCTAAAGTGTCCTGATCTGATTGGTTCCTTGTTCCACGTGTCATGTTTTCATTGTGTTTCTTGTTAGTCCTTTTTGTATAAATAGCCCTCATGTATAAATAGCCCTCATATTTTTGGCTTGTCGTGTATTGATGCTGCTGTTAGTCCAGTGTTGTCAAGTCAAGTTCACATTTATATTCATGTCTATGTTATGTTCTCAATCAAGATTACTTCAGTCATTGACTTGTTTTGGGATTATATCAATAAACGGTGTTACTGACGTCACAAACTACCTTGTAACCAATCAGATCAACGTGTGGTCGTCAACGAGTGGATCTCTGAGCTGGTGCGAGTGAGTGGAGGCGGGGATCATTTGCATATTCATAGAACCACGTATACTAAATGAGGCAAGGGCGTAGAGTTACATTCAAACTATTTTAAGGCATCAAGAATGTTTTTTCAAGAAAAAAATTCTTTAAATATCTTATTTTGGTGATCAAAGATGAGTTTTATGGGATTAAAATGAATGACTGTAGGGGGACTTTAAGACATTGGAACGATCCCACCTTTACTTGATATGTATTTCGGACTTGGTGTGAATGGGCCTTACATTTCATTTTGACCCTTGGCTACAGAGATGCTCAGCATTCAGGAGGATGTTGCGGACCCACGGCTCATCCCTTTTAGACCGCAGATGATCAGAGAGTGTCATTCTCCAATCATCTCCTTAACACAAGACCATCACAACACCCCAACACACGACAGCAGATCCAGCACAAAAGGCAGTCGAGGGGACCGAGGGGGCCACACCGACACGCAAACACGCTCCCCGAAGTCTATCGTTCAACCTCTAACTCTCCCTCTGTGCTTTTAGCTGAAAGCACCGTCTGTTTGTCTCAGGTGTAGTGTGACCCCCTCACAGGAAGTCCCCCTGTGGCCAGGCTGGGGTACTGCAGTACCTTGTTGGTGCACTGCCTGAATGTGTTGATGAGCTCCTGAATAACCAGATCGATACATTTCAGACAGGGCTCTTTCAGCTTAATGATCTGCTTTTTCACGATGGCTTCAAACGCCAGATCTGGAGTGAACAGCCCAGTTCTGAGAACGCACAGGACAGACAGACAGCAGGACATAAGAGGACGGAGACGAACAGTGAAACACATATTTGTGACAATGACGTGAAAATTAAACTTAATAGACGTGAAAATAGGACACTTGAAGGTGAAGTGGAGGGAAAGAAGAGGATAAAGACATTGGTTTAGCTCACAAAGACTGGAAACAGAATCCTAAATAATACACAGACAGATGAGTGTGACTTGCTGTGGGGAAAAAAAGTCAATTAAACATTTCAGAGACGACTAGGATCCTCAGTGATTTTAAGAATCAATCTAGGCCATGCCCTCATGACAGTTTTTGCAGTGGCGGACGAATATTTGAGGGTCTCACAAGAGATACCCAGATTTCAGTCAATTGATGCTCACTCCAATTGCAGACACGTGGTAAGAATGAGTAGAAATGACATAGTCAAGACCAGCTCATTTGAGTCAGATTCAAGACTGAGAGCAGAAGAGGGTTTTATGCGTCAAGACGGTCCACATGCTCCCAAGTCCATTGTGTCCAAGTACAAGACCACATTTTCATTGATTATGAGGCCATGACTATATTTTCATTGCCTTGTGTCCTTGAGTTCAGGAACATATTTTCATGGTCTTAGTCTTGGGCTCAGAATTGAGGACCAGTACCATTTTTTTTCATGGTCTTGGTCCTCGAGACCAAGATCACATTTTCATGGTCTAGGTGCTCGAATCTGAGCCCAAGACTATATTTTCATGGCCTTGGTCATTGAGTCCGAGTCTAAGACTATATTTTCATGGCCTTGGTCATTGAGTCTGAGTCTAAGACTATATTTTCATGGCCTTGGTCATTGAGTCTGAGTCTAAGACTATATTTTCATGGCCTTGGTCATTGAGTCCGAGTCTAAGATTATATTTTCATGGTCTAGGTCATTGAGAAATATGCATCTTTTTAAATCATTTTCCACACTCATAAGCAGTGTGGTGGAAATATATGGGGGGTGTCCTAATTTATTCCTCCTCAAAAATTGCATTCTTTTAAAATTACATTTCACGGAGAGTCTTAAAAAGGCCTTCCTTATTTTTAAATAGTTTAGTTAAATCACTGGGCCCTTCAGTATTGTTAAAATTGTTATTACATGTCCGTATGTTGAAAAATAGACAGGCTTTCATGGTGTCCTATTTTTTTCACATGACTGTATGGTTGCCTTTATATAATTTAATAATAATGATAATTTATTATTATTTTCATTATTATTTAATGGTGATAATCACATAATTTGGACAGTGACTCCCACCCCCTGCAGAACACCATCACTGCACTGTTTATTTATTGTATATATTGTTTACATTAATATATATATATATATATACTTTTTTTTTTTTTTTTTACTATCCACTGTGCTGCTGCAACACTGAGAAATTCCCCATTGTGGGAATGTCAGGTCTATCTTATCTTATACACCACCACCACTGTAGGCCTACCTTCAGACATATTTTGGATCATACAACATAATGTGATACAGTAGCTAACTGTAGCTGCTTCTCCTCCATTTTTGTTAAATCACTGCTGAGCATGATGGGAGGAATTTGGTGGGAATAAAAAGCTAAAATATTCTAGTTGTAGTCCTGTAAATAGTGTCACTACAAGATTCAGTGTTTGTAAAATCTTTAGTCTGGGACTAAAAACTGTGAACCCAAGTCTTTAGATGTGATCTGATAATCTTATAAAGTCTTTTCTAAATCTTTTCAAAGTCTTTAGGTGTACAGAAAGCATAAGATTATATTTTCATGGTCTTGGTCATTGAGTCTGAGTCTAAGATTATATTTTCATAGCCTTGGTCATTGAGTCCGAGTCTAAGATTATATTTTCATAGCCTTGGTCAGTGAGTCAGAGTCTAAGATTATATTTGGCCTTGGTCATTGAGTCCGAGTCTAAGATTATATTTTCATGGCCTTGGTCATTGAGTCTGAGTCTAAGATTATATTTTCATGGCCTTGGTCATTGAGTCCGAGTCTAAGATTATATTTTCATGGCCTTGGTCATTGAGTCTGAGTCTAAGATTATATTTTCATGGCCTTGGTCAGTGAGTCAGAGTCTAAGATTATATTTTCATGGCCTTGGTCATTGAGTCCGAGTCTAAGATTATATTTTCATGGCCTTGGTCATTGAGTCTGAGTCTAAGATTATATTTTCATGGCTTTGGTCTTGTCAAGGTCGAGCATGTTTACTCAGTCTTGTCCTGGGCTCGATCTTCTTCAGGTCTTGGTCTTGACTTTGACTTGAATAAGCTGGTCTCAACTACAACAGTGGTTTTGAAGCCAATGCGACAGCCGGATTTGAGCGAACATTGACACTGTAATCTTTTTAATCATGTCATTTTCGCCCCATAATGTTCAACAATGATGTGCCATAAACAATAATAGAACAAACGATGGAGAGAGAATGAACAACATTTTCCTTTGCCACATTTTCTTACGAAACTAAAATACACTTTTATAGTATTTATAATGTTTGTGAATGTTTCGCCTTTATTTACCAGCATTTACATTAGCATTTTTACCAGCATTTTTTTTTCTCTCAAACAATGCAATTTTGACCCGGTGTGACTTCTATTCCAAAAAATACGGTATTGTCAAAAGAGTGGTGACATGCAGAAAATACTTGCACCGACTGACAAATGCGATTTGTAATATTTTTAATTATTTTTTATAATGAGACAAATGATAAGAAAAAACGTGGCGTGAGCAGTAAAACGATTCTGGTAATTGTGTTGGGAAAGCATGGCCTTACTATTAGACATTTCAGAGAAAGAAAGTGTGTGATTAGAGTGAAAGAGTGAGGGATTAGTCAGTGAACAGAGGATATAAGAAGTGTCGTGGCTTTCATGCCAGCATAAGGCCTGCAGGGCTGACAAGCGCCTGCCGTCAATGGGACACCACTTGCCTGACACCATGGACGTTCTTAATGGCGTGACTGATTTCTCGCCGGAGCTCCTTCTCATCAAAAACAATCTGAAAGAGAAAGAGAGACTTCACAACAGGGACTTGCCACTGCACCTGTGTGGCATACCGGGTCCTCTGGGAACTTGTTGTGACTTGTTATCTCAAGATCATAGTATTTGCTGGATTCTAAACAAGTACAATCATTCAGACAAACTTTGACAGTTCAAAAGCAGACAAAACAAAGAGTTCTGTTGAAAACAGAGGCATTTACCTTGACCAGCTCGAAGGGGAAGCGTTCATGGAAAATTCGGTTAATCCGGGCACCTCCAGACAACTCTGCTGTGTCCACCTGGTCTCCGGAGCCTTCGATGCACTTCTCAAAGTCCACTCCGAACTGCTGGACCATCCTGAAAGAGGTACTCAGAGTTAGACACATCTGCCCTAGCCTAGAAATTGCTTCAGTTCGAGACGCTAGTCCCGTCACTGGACTCACTGCAGCAGAGCCTTGGTCTTTCGCGTAGGGTCATCCGGGCGGAAATTCTTATACTCTTCCACCTCCTTTTCCAGTGAGAGAAGCTGAGACTGGAGTTTGCTGCGTAAGCCGGGTAGCGTGTCCCGGATGTGGTTGGTCAATTGCTAAAAATAAAAAAAATAAAAGGAAGTGAGAATGTGATACAGTATATAAACATAATGGCACCAAACAGAGGGTGACAATCACCAAACAAAGTCATTTTCAGGAATTAGAAATATATGCATATGCTAATCTTTTCCAAAATGGAATTATTTGTGCGATTCCATGGCTAGTGTCGTGTTCCTACCTGGTTGAGGGTCTTCTGCAGATGTGGTGTTCCCATTTTTTCAGCCATGTGTCTGTAGCTGGGATGGGAGAGGAAGAACTTCCTTTCTGCCGCCATCGCAACACGAATATCCTTCTTGCCATCTATATCTTTCTGACTTCTGTTTACTACACCAATATAACCTGGGACAGAGAAAGTGACATTAAATAGCCTGTGCCAGAGCTGGATGGTGGATGGACAATATATACCCCATGCAATGGTAGAAATATGTCAACTGGAATCTTGCTATCTCCTTTTGTTCCTCCAAAGAACACTTTACATTGTATTGTATTCAAAAGTTTGGGTTCAGTATGAATTTTTTTTTCAGCAAGGTCATGTTAAATTGATCAAAAGTGACAGTAAAGACTCTTCCATTTCAAATAAATGCTGTTCTTTTGAACTTTTTATTCAACAAAGAATCCTAAAAAATGTATCATGATTTCCAGAAAAATATGAATCAGCACAGTTTTCAACATTAATAATAATAAGAAATGTTTCTTGAGCATCAACTCATCATATTAGAATGATTTCTGAAGGATCATGTGACACTAAAGACTGGAGTAATGATGCTGAAAATTCAGCTTTGGTCACAGGAATAAATTACATTTTAATATATATTAAGATATTAAAACATTTAACACTATTAGTGTTTTTACTGTATTTTTAACCAAATAAATGCAGCCTTGGTAAGCCTTGAAAAAACCTTACCAAACCCAAAGTTTTGAATAGTAGTGTATACGGTTATGGTATGGTGACATAAAATTACTCATAAATGATCAGATAATTGGCCATAATTTACACTCCTGTAATGTGATTGTTTAAAGCACAAACTGCCCACCTCTACGCAGCGGTAAGAGTTTATTTTCCAGGATATCCCGGGCGTCTGTACCCTCATCCATTAGATCCAGCTTAGTAATCACACCAATGGTGCGCACTCCTGTTGAAATACAAACAAAAATACATTAACAACAACTTGTGTTCTCTCCAAAGGGTTCTCACTCTATTGACCAATGAATTTCCATGAACTTTCCAGTTGTCTGTGATTACTTGATCAGGATTATTTTTAAAAAATCATCTAAATTCAAGTTGATTCACTAGAGCATTTGGGATTCACTAAAAAGAACCAACTAAAAAGAATGATTGGCTCATAAAGTGGAAATCACTGTGGTTTCCATGACTATGTGAACTGCATTTATCCGCCTCCTCTCGTTCTTTTATCTCTCCAGCAATCCTCACCTTGAGGGTCCACCTCTTTAGCCACCTTGAGGGCATCCGAGTTTGCCAAGTCAGTGTTGGCCGGGGTGACGGCGAGGATCAGGCAGCTTTCCCTAGTGATGAACTGCATAATCATGTCTCGAATCTGGTGCTCAATGTCGTGTGGCTGGTCGCCCACCGCAACCTTGGTCATACCGGGCAAATCAATGAGAGTCAGATTCAATACTGTTGAAGGGAGAGAGAGAGAGAGAGAGAGTGAGAGGAGTGACATTTTAACAATGGCTGCCGAGATTACGAGTGTGGACTGAGGAAAGCAGTGGTATTAAGAGTCTTTTGTTGTATTACCGTGTGGAGAGTACACTCTGAGGTTGATAGGAATAGGAGAGATGCCCTTATTGGATCCTGTAATCCTGTCGGTTTCTGCTTCAATTTCCTGCCGGACTTCATCAAAGTCCACAAACTTCCTCCCTTTGCAGTGCAAGAACTCGGCATATTCTACAAGACAGAGAGATGGAGAGTGTGGTTAAGGGTGATAGGGAGATGGGCGGACGACATTTCAGCATCAAGGCAAACAAGACTTTAAAACCATATAGTGATATTTTCACCTAAAGCCACACAGTCACTGCCATAAAATGTTTTTCACACCAGGGTTAGTATGTAATTCGCTAAAACTAAAACCATAAAAATTATTATGTTATTATGTATTAAAAAAAAACACATTTTATTTCAGCTAGTTGCCATTTAGTTTAACTAGATGTACTAGCATAGCTAAAACTGAAACTAAAATAAAGAGAATGTTGAAATTAAATTAAAAAAAAACAACAACCCGATAATAGTAATAAAAGATAATCTCAATAATACTACAATAACACTATTCCACACTAATATACAGAAGAGATTTTACGAAACATACTAATTTCCAAAAGGGCTGTATGATTTAGTTCTCACAACAAAAAAACCTATTGCAATTATTTTAGCAAATATTTCAACTGCAATTAATTATGCCTACAGTAATTATACTGATTTAAAGGGATAGGTCACCAAAAAAATACTTACTAAAATACAAATAAATAAAAAATATACAGATATTTTTATGCTAAACTAAAAAAAAAAAAAAAAAGAATAAAACATTAGGCAAGCATGTCTGAGCTTCCGTTAACTATATCTGATGTGCTCTATGTGTTGATCAATATATGAATAAAAGTTAATCTGTTTATGATATAAAGTGATTGTGTCTCTTCAGAAGAATTTGAGTTGCATGGGCTTTTAATGTAGGGACAAAAATGACAAGAGAACATGTGTCACTAACGATTATTTTTGGTAAATGATTAAATGGTCGATTATTTTGACGATTAATCGAATAATCCGATTTTTTGTGGTTGAAAATAGACCTAAGCCTTTAAAATGACTAAAAAAACATAATAACAACAACGAGGTAATATTATTTGGTTCAAATAAAGTATCAAAAGCAACTAATCATATGGTTTTACAGAACAATGTTAAAATACATAATATACATAATAAAAACGATCATCTTATGTACAGTATTATAACAAATCCCTGCAGAGGGCGCCTACGGTCTGGTGTACAGCAAATCAAATCTTTGTTTAATATTGGCCAAATGACATTTAATTAAAATGTTTACTCAATCTTTAATATTTTGGCAACTTATTTACGATAGAAATGCTCCAGGCACTGTAATTTCTCGACCAAGAATGTGTAGACGTAAAAACTTTGTTTATTATGCAAACTTAGAGCGAGGATTTAAACTTTTATTTTAAAATCACAAACAGCAGTTTCAAAATTCTAGGGTAGTTTGAGAAAATGCATTTGTACCATCCAGGAATTTAACCTCAAGAGAATTATTTTGCTTATTAGAGTGCAGATCTGGTTGCAAAAAAGCATGCTATAGTATAAGACTTCTTTTTATTCAATAAAAGCAGTTCAGCTTTGTTATGTTCCCCTTTACGGTCGATTACACTGATTTGGTAGATAATTTGTTCTGTAATGTCTTTCTGTTTGAATTAATTCTCCATCTGCACTTCCATGTTCTCGCTACATTACATTACCTCATACTGAAAGCAATATAAATGATAATTGCTTGTGGCAGAGAGATGTAAATGTTACAAGGGGAAGTTTCAGAGGAGAACTGCCTTATGAAATTGGAATAAGATGACATTATTAGTTAAAGATTAACCGTGTCATTATTGTGTCACTAGCAACATGGAACTTTTTGAAATTTGGATGAAAACATTTGAATGCGTTTTCGCCGTTCATTTACATGACAGCAATGTTTTAGGGGCCTGAAAACTGCTTTTCAAACAGCATTTCACCATTTCATTTGATAAAAAACTACACAGTAACTCATAGGTCTTCATGACAGCCTGCCAAAATTTCGGCTTAACTTGAAGAAATGATGACAAAAATATATTACTATTGTAAAGTCGAATGCACTGTAATTATACAGTTAATTAAAACATTATTTTTAAAGGATTTCTAGCCCATGTTTTAATTTAAACCTATGTTTGCTGGCCAAAAAATAAGAGGAATCGTTTCAATTTCGTTTGATTACATTGTATAAGATTAATTAAATTGCTAACGTTTTATGATATTCAATTGAATTTTTAAAATGTTAGTGCCCTATGAAATGTTTTTATTTTATTTTATTTTTATTCTGTGTTGTCGGTTTTAATTTTCAGTAATCTGTGTTTTATGATTTAATACAAATTTATTATTGAAAACACTGGTAATCAAATGAATGTCTATAATTAGTTGTTGTCTAATTATATAATATATCATTTTTTTATTATTAAAAAAAATGTGTCATTTCAAGTCCAATCCAGAAAAATTAAAAGCGGAATTTGCGGAATGATTAAAGTGGATTTCATAGGGCCCTTGATGTGTCATTTGATGTGACACATTTGTCACACTAAATATTATGGGCACCGTGTATGAATAAGCATGAAAGCATGTGGTTTCAATCAACCACATATTACGTACCTGAGAAGGCTTTGTTCAGTTGTGCTCATTAACACACTCACCAGCTTTGTTGTTAACTAGCTGCAGAATGAGAGGCCTGCGGGTGACGATGCCTGAGCCTCGGGGAAGGAAATCCCTGTAAAAAAACAACGAGAGAAAGTGAGTATGGATGGACGAGAGGCAAACACTCCCGAGTCATTCATAGCAAATTTCAGCTCAATTTTCAGGGGTGGTGAGTTTGATCAAATTATTCATGAGAGGAGCGAAGGTTTAGGGGCAACCTCTTTGCATTCATATCAGAACACACACACAAACCAAGACGCTATCATGGTCCCTTGTAGCAATGAATATTAAAACATGGTGGCAACAATTCCAAAGAGGCTGCAATGCTTTTGCAAATGAATGGCCACAGCCGTATCTTACAGCCAAATCAGGGTACATTTAATAACACTGTTGCGTATTATAAACACCCTCTGAGATCAAACTGTGAGCAGAGAGCAGTTTCAGCCCTTTACACCCACAGATTTAACAAAGCACAGAGGACAGAACAGGTACGGTGTTAATGGTAATATCAGGAAAAATGTTTTCATACCACAAAGCATCGCAAGTGATGAAATAAGTCTCACAGTTAAAGCCAAAATAGAACCAATTTGTCAGAATTCATCATTGGTTTGCAAATCGAACTACACTGGTTGTGCTGTGTTTTCGATTCTTTAAAAAAAAAAAGCTCATAAGAATCACTCGTATGGGAATCGGACTGCACTGGTCGTGCAATAGATCCTGAATCAGTATTGCCTCGCTGCTAAGTAACGTACATGGGACGACTTTTACGCTAAACGTTTTCATTTTCTAACCCTAAAGGCCCATTCACACCATGGAGTGGACAATAAAAACCATAACTATAACGATCAAGTTCTAAGTCCAGAGCACAACGATAACAACACAGAGGAACGTTCTAGAAATACTTTTTTTTTCCAGCTGATGTGCAATAAAAGACATTGACAGCCAATTAATACAGTATTTAAAGCAGCAGAGAGCAGACAATAACTAACCTCTTCTCAGTGTCTGCGCATGCGTCGTGTCGCTCTCGTGAACTCACGTCAGAGGCCCACACAGAAGAAAATTAATAGTTGAATAAAGTCGTTATTTTTGTGTGTTTTTTGGCACACAAAAAGTATTGTCATCGCTTGATAAACTTAAGGTTGAGCCACTGTAGTCACTTGGACTATTTTAACGATGTCTTTACTAACTTTTCTGGGCCGGCAGATGCAATTGCCTAGCAGCCTATGGAGGAGTGATCCGATTTAATCAAAAATATCTTAATTTGTGTCCCGAAGATGAACGAAAGTCTTACGGGGTTGGAACAACATGAGGGTGAGTAATTACTGACAGAATTTTCATTTTTGGGTGAACTAACCCTTTAACTAACGCATAGGCCTATTCAACTACTTAAAGGGATAGTTCACATAAAAGTAAAAATTCTGCCATCATTTATTCACTCTAATGTTGTTGCAAACCAGTATGACTTTCTTAGAACAAAATTCTTCTAAATATCTTCTTAGAAGAAAGAAACATGATTTGTTGCAGGGTGCATGATGACTGAATTATATTTTTGGATGAACCAATTCTTTAACAACTCCTGCGCTATAAACAGGTCTGTTACCTTACCATAACAAAGATTTCTGTAAAAAAAAAAAAAAAAAAAAATCTAGAAAGTACTCAAACTGTCGATCTACCATGATAGCAGCTGACCTGAAATATAAATTTGAACGTAGAAGAATTAGTTTATACTATGAACATTTGCATTTATTTACTTGCGTCCGATATGTTTCAGGCCTTTGGGACACTATAAAACCACATGATGAAATGCCTATGATGTGTCTTTTTTTCCAAATGGGAAGCTTTGATGGTATCCCACATGCTGTGGGTGTGTTGAGCGTGTCTGCGGGTTCGAGAGTCCAATCACAGCCTGTCTTAATGAGTAAGCCTGTCTCTCCATGAGTTCCTGCTCTACATCTGGTCCTGATCAAAGCCAGTGCAGTCAGCTGTGAATCCAACAGCCATTTCCCCGAAATCACCGGCCCACCTAACGCACAATGCAGCAGAGCCCGAAGGGAAAGACAAACCATGCTTTAAAACACACACACAGACAGTAACACAAAAAAAGAAGAGTCATACACAAAGAGACGATGAGACAAAACATGGCTTGTTGACAATAAGGACTGCCCAATGGCCCGGGGCCAGCGAGAAAGACGCTGAGGTTCCAGCTGTCACTGGAATTGTCAGTGGCCCGACTGCTGTGTTGCCATGAAAGTTGATCATTTCCAAATGTTTAAGTCTTGCCAGCTTAAAGGTGCAGTAAGCGATTTCTGAGAAACGCTGTTGATATTTGAAATCACCAAAGCAAACACACCCCTATCTTGATACCTCTGCCCCCAAATTCACAAACATGCTATGCAGCACAGGCACCTCCCCCCTCATGAGTGGACACGCTCCTTACTGCTGATTGGCTACAAGTGTGTTTTGGTGCTCGTCTGATTAAGGCCCCGTTTACACGATGGGAAAACGCAGATATTTCTCTGCGTTTTGCCCTCTCATTTACACGAAAACGCCGTTTTTATCACAGAAAACGATTATTTCTAAAAACTCCGGGCAAAGTGGAGATTTCTGAAAACGCCGGTTATGTGTTGCCGTGTAAACTGGGAGAAACGGGGTTTTAGGTTCTCTCTTGTCGATTCTGAGGATTTTGATTGGGTTGCATGGCTTTATCCTTCTCCCTACACTGCCGCCCATAGGTTTGGCATAGTTATGATGGCGCTCGACGGCGTATTTATGCGGGTGTGTGCACGATGTTATTTTTGAAAACGGAGAGGGAGAAAATATTCGTTTCTCTAAATACCCGGCTATGTGTAAACGTTGCCTAACTTTTCTCAGAAATCACTTACTGCACCTTAAAAGGTGAAGTATATAATTTCTGCAACACTAGTGGCACCTTGGAGAATTATTGCATTTGCAACAATCTTGCAAATGCCCCTTTCACGCCTCCCTCAACTCAAACATCACAACAGCTCTTACTGGTGCTTGTCAAGGCATGTCTCAACATGTGTTTTCAATAAACTGTCCAACATATTAGGAATACTTTTAGCTGTGTTGTTATGTGTCATGAGTAAGTACTGTAATTGAGTAGACTTAACACTTGGTCTAGAGCGAACGCGCGCGTGCATCTCTTATAATATAATAAACCTATCCAACGTATCTGCTCCGGGCACATTTTTTGATATGACGTGCCACAACTGTTTGAGGCGGTCTACACTGGACAAATCATAGCAAAAATTCTAAACTACATTTGTCTTTCTGAACAGGTGCATGATGGTATTGCAGTGTTCATTGTAGCGCGTAGCATTGCAACACCCTGTTCGCTTAGTCCCGTTTAATCTCTGAAGGTCTAAATGCAGCAAACTGTGGCTTGCACTTATGTAACAGAAGCTGAATGTCTTTTTCCATGTAAAACTTCATGGTCAAACTTCGGCTAAACACCCTCTGGCTCCGCCTATTTTGGCCACGCCCCAAACTCTTGTTATAGGTTGAGCTGGAAAGAGATACGTATACAGTCGGATATGTTATAAAGTCCCCCTGTGGTGAAAATCAAGTTTTTAATGTTATTTATATGTCTATTTGGTAGGGGTGTAACGGTTCACAAAATTCACGGTTCGGTTCGATACGATACAGTGGTGTCACAGTTTGGTATGTTTTCGATACAGCAAAAAGAAAGAAATGCCAGGGAAATTTCCCATTCTTTTTTTTTTTTTTAATAAATGGGAGTTTTCCTACATGTTGAAACTTTTATTTTTATAAATGGGGGTAATCTTTGAAGGATGAGCAAATAATGTATAATATTTGTTAAAACATAATATTTTAGTTTTGAAGTGCTGGAAATAGATGTGTGACGTTACGTACTTGAAAGCATTTGACTATTTCACCCAAACTTCCATGGTTACAGTTAGTGTTGCTACATTAAATCCATGGTGAATGTTGCTGGACTTAATCCTATAACTAGTTCATTCATGGCACAATGTTTCTCGCAGCGCTGTTTGATCCGTTAATAACGGAGACATTTGAATGTTTCTCACTAGATCTCGCAGCGATGTTATTACTTCAAATGCTTTCTTTACTAGATCTCTCAGCGCTGTGTATTGACCATAGACAGGTAGTGACAGTGTCGCTTGATCAAGATCGGCTCGCGCTGCACTGACATTGGTCCGAACTGATAAACGGTCCGTGAAGCACAAAATAAGTTTCGTTCCGCTTTCATTACGTTTGCCATTTGATCCTGTGCAATGTTGTGGTGGTTTTTGTTCGGCAGGAAAAATGGTCCAACGAATCGTTCAGTTTGTAATGCGTATTGCGTACCGAACTGAAAGCCTTGTACCGAACGGTTCAATACGAATACTACACCCCTACTATGTTTTTAATATGCTTTAAGACAAACCATGTGCAAATTCATAAGTCAACGTCATTGCTGAGTATTTTCTCCTTAAAACTGGAGTGAACCAAAGACAGTCTCAAAAACACAGTTTGAAATCGCTGGTGTTTCTGACGTCACAAACTACCTTGTAACCAATCAGGTCAACGAGTGGATCTCTGAGCTGGTGCGAGTGAGTGGAGGCGGGGATCATTTGCATATTCACAGCACCACATATACTAAATGAGGCAAGGTGTAGAGTTACATTCAAGCTATTTTAAGTCATGAAGAATTTTTTTCAAGGAAACAACTTTTAAATATGTCATTTTGGTGATGAAATATGAGTTTTAAGGGATAAAATTATTGACTACACAGGGACTTTAAGTGAACGTAAACACTTGGGAACTTAATCGTTTGAACCTTATATTAGTTAGGCTAGTAGTTTTTTGCCGTAGTATCAAAATCTGATTTGAAAATTGTGAAATTTCACTGTCATAATAAGCTAATTTATTAGATTACAAGGTAACATGGGAAAACCAGCAAAAACAATAACATTGATTTTGTTGATTTCCGGTGGGGCCAGTGAAAATTTCCATAGCGTTGAGCCCAGCAAAAGTAAGCTAGAGCTTTCAAGTGTGGCCTATGTTGAAGACAGCCCGTTTGGCTGCATGAAG